TACATAAACTCCCTTTAAATGTAAAATAATTATTTTCTAGACAGAATCTGAAGCTCTTAATTATTTCAGTGGTGTACAGTGGACATCTTTGTGGTAGTGTTGTATCTGATTCTAGTAGACTTAGTTTAAACTTCACTATTTACTACTAGTTTTACCACTGTCACAGGACATATGTCATATCTCAAATGTCCTCTACACCAACATGAAACTTAATTACACTTCGTCAGTATTATATTAAATTATTTTATCACTGTCTGAATCGAATTTGCAGTATGATTTATCATCTTAATAACTATATGTACTTTTCTCTGTGGTAAGCGATCAGGTCACTATTCTAGTTCAACACTCAAAAACTGAAGGACAAAACTACAAGGGATGCCTTCAGTGCACCATTAGATCAGAGTAAAGTCAAAGACACTACGTACTATCACCGGGAAAACCTACGTGGAAGAACACTGGAACTTTCTGAAGGCGATATTCAAGGAAACGTGTACAACTGTTCTAGGAAGAAAGAAAAAACACGACAAGGAATAGCTCCTAACGGCTACCTGGAAGCTAATAGAAGAGAGGAGAGGAGGATGGGGAAAGAGAAGATGACCTAATGCAAATATGCAAAACAGAAGGAGAAGCCAAATCCAGTGTACACTGAACTAAGTCAAGAAAGACGTGAAGAAGAGTGCTAGGAAAGACAAAAAACAATTCTACGACACACTGGCCGGCAACTGGAGCAGAACAGGCAGGACACAGGCCATTAGATCAGATAACTAGGTCTCTACACGGGAAGAGACCAACCCAGATGATGAAACCAATAGAAGTTGGTCAAGGGAACCTGATTACCAAGAGAAGATACAAATAGAACAGTGAGGTGATAACTTCAAAGGACTCTTGAGTTGACCATCACCTGCAACTCACCCAGAAATACCACCACCACCAACACACATACACTGCTGCATTCCAGAGGACACCAATCCTCCAACGAGAGCAGAAATCCTGAATGCTACCAAGCTACTGAATTCCGAATGGGAAAGCGCCAGGGTCAGATGGAAGTCCCCCACCCGAGGCACTGAAAACGGACCCAGAGACTGCGGCAGATGTGCTCACACCATTATTGCAAAAGGTATGGATGGGAGGAAAGCAGCCTACTGATTGGAAGAAATGTAATGCAGACCTCCATCAATCTGAAATAAGTTTGGAAATCTTCTGTACTAACTCAGTCAGTATAAATAACAAGGCTCGGATTTTCAACACAAATGTTAAGTGAGTCAGTCAGTTGTCCTATACGGGTCAGAAACTTGTAACGACAGAAGACAAGGGCCAGGCAACAGATCGTTTATTGAGAAAATCAAGAGGTATTCATAAATTTTTATGTACATTATTATTAGCGTTATTGTTAGCAGAGAAGCAACCTCTTCTGATTGGTTGTTTACTTGTAGAAGTTTATTCTGTTATCCCTTTGTGTCCGTTTCTCAGAAAATCAAGCCAAACTTGTCTGTAGGATCAAGTGTTCGAAATGTGATGCTAGCCATGTAGGGGAGAGCAGTAGATAGGTGAAGGAAGGTCAGACTGAATAAACACAGGCTGTGCACGAAATGTCCACCTAGAAATAAAGTAGAATTAACGAGTCTATTGCAATGCATCCTATAGAGAACGAACATAAGATCGATTTCGACAATGTCGAAATTGATATAAGAATAAAACTTGTGCACTGTGGTAGAGTGTAATTCCATTATGGGTAAATTTTATTTTTATAGAGTCTCACAGTGTTATACAGTAATATTTACTGATGACGTTTCGAGCACAATTTATTGCTCATAATCATATCAAGGTAATCACACGACTTCCTAAATTCATTTATATGGTTCCATTGTTTTTGATTTGATTGGTAGTAATATTTTCCATATTTCGGGTATGAGTGATGAATCATTTCTATTGCATGTGTTGGGTGTAGATTCGATGAACAAAGATTCAATAATCAACCTCTCTCCCCAACTATTTAGATTACTTTTTAGAATTTTAACCCTATCCCACCCTATTGTGTGGTTGTGTGCTAATGCATGTATTGCAATTGCTGAGCTTTTTTCTAAATTACTTATCTTCCCTGGGTCAACCATTTTTAAATTCTTATGTCATATTGTCAGAACATAAGAATTTAGCTAAGGTGAGGTAAGCTTCGCAAAGTAACTATCCAGCTCAGAAAACACAACCACATCAAAAACATGTTCTTTTCGACGACACTGTAACATTCTTTTAGGTCTACCTATATAGGTGTCACCGCAGCTGCAGCTAAACTTGTAGATTCAGTTTGAAGTAGAGTCCACAGAATTTCGACCTTTAATCGTAGGTACAGAGATCAAAAATGTTCGGTAAGTGAGAAAAAGAGATGCAGTGTAGAATGTGCGTTTAATGGCTAACCGAAGTCTTTGAGCTGTCAACTACATAATCCGGTCACCCTTGAATGGTAGGTTAATAAAGATAGCTTTCTTTGGTACAGAAGCTGTCTTTTCGAGATGTGGTCTTTCTTTACTGTGACAAGTGATAAAGTTCTCCGAATAACCATTAGCTACTAAAACTGAATGTATACATCGAAACTCATCCATCACTGTGTCACTCGTGCATATTTTTCGGGCCCTTGAGAACAAACATTTCACTAGGGAACGTTTATGCTGGATAGGAACAAAACTGGTGAAATGAAGATATTGTCCACTCCATATCTGTTTACGAAAAATAGATCGCTGAATCGTACCATCATTTCTGCTAGTCATAGTAATATCGAGGAAACCGAGTTTGTTATTCGATTCGAGTTCGGAAGTCACTCGGATATTTGGATGAATATGATTAAATAGGGTAATAAAGTTTTCAATAGATTTACTATTATTGCCAATAATGAGAGTATCATCTACATAACGTTTAAAAAGCATAAATTCTCCAAGCATACCTTGCATCTGTTTTTCCAATTTCGACATGAATATATCTGCTAACAGGGGCTCAAGAGGGTTCCTCATCGCAATACCATCGATTTGTTTGTATGCCATTTTCTTGGAAGGTGAATCTAATATTTTCTGTACAAATTAAGATGATATCTCTGATGCAAGTGACAGGAATAGGTAAATTTATCCCACTGCTTGTGATGTAATCGCAAATGAAATCAACAGTTTTATGGATAGGAATATTGGTGAATAAAGATTCTATGTCAATGGAACACATAACCTTTTCCTCAATGTTCAAAGTGTCTACCATATCTGTCAGATCAAATGAACTTTTTACAGAATGATTTGATAATGAGTCTCTTACAGGAGTAAGAACCTCTATAATCCATTTTACGATTTTATGGTATGAAGAACTCGACATGTCTAAGATGGGTCCCAGTGGGTTCCCAGTTTGTGGATCTTCGGAAGGCCATAAAGCCGTGGAGTATGTGACCCAATTGGTTTAAGTTGTTTATAAAGTTTTTCATTTATGAAACCATGCATCAGTAAAATCTGAAGCTGACGGTTGATCTGCTTTTCCACAAGCAGCAAATTATCAGTAGTATTGTCCACCAGAAATTTAGACTGATCTTTGAGGATATCATTCATTTTATTTTGATAATCCGATTTATTCATGATGGAAACGCCTTCTCCCTTATCACGTTTAAGGATAATAAGATCATCTTTTTCGAATAATTCCTTAAGTGCTGCGTGGTGTTCTTTTGATAAACCATTTTTCTGGTGTATTCTAGCATTTAGAAATTGGTGAGAAATGTCCGCCAATTTAACTTTAAACCAGTCCAGATTATCTTTACTAGAAGGAGTTAAATCAGAGATTTGATCAGTATGTACTTTTGTTTTTTATTTAACTGAGTAATTGTCATGAACTTTATTTTATTTTATTATTGTCAACCATGTTAGTTGTAAAGCGGTTGTAAAGAAACTACGAAATGAAGATATCATCTCGTGAAATTTGTCTTCTAAGTGCCTCATACAAATAAAAAAGTCAAAGTCACGGTGACCTTAAATATACAATCAGAATTCAGATTCGAAAAACTAGCATAATCCTGAAAGAATATATTGAAAAGCATTGCAAACATGATATTACACTGGTAAAGTGTCTCTTATGTGTTATAAGAGTGTCTTCCGGTTACTCCGAGAATAATCCATAGAGAAATCACATAACATACTCGATAAATATATTCATTCAGGTGACTGTCTACACTTCTTTGGGTCTCATCGACATTCCTGACTCTGTTCTTTAACCTACCTCTATCCCTGACTGACAGTATAGTTTCACGGAAAAAAGTACCAAGGGAATAAGTAAAATGCTGTATCTACCTTCACCGAATTGATAAGGGCATGCCCTAAAGGCATAATTTGATTTGAAATGGTATTCCATAGAGTTCCCTAAGTCTAATAGGATCTCTTCAAGGTCAGCTTTTCGCAGGCCTTGACTCCACCACATTTAATATATTAACGAAACAGTATTGAAAAGTAAATAAATGCTTTTTGATTCCTGTATTTATGTATATAAATAACAGCAATAATAATAATTATTATTATTCAAATAAAAGAGAGAAAAAATAAAGTTGAAAAAGAAACACACACCATAATTATACACAACTTTAAAACTATTAGTTAATACTGAAAAATTATCCACCTAAATTGGGAATTGTCAATTCTCACCTATTCTCTTTCACTTTTTTTTGACTTACATTCCTAAATAAGTGTTCAATTGGCACACACATACACACACACAAACTAACCGATCAACGTTTTTAGATCACTCAATCCCCTAAAAACATTCTGAAATATATATATGTATATATAAAATTTATCCAAAATATGCAAACTTCAATAGACCTCAGATTGCTTCAATGTCCAATATTCACTAACTGTTGATGAATATAATTTAAATCCATGTGTAAATAAATACAATGAAATGTTTCCCACAATTCTGTTTTTCTTTTTGGAGGAACAAAACAATACCGAAGGTATTGTTGAAACAATTGAACAACTGTTTTTAAAATGATCCAATGAAAAAATATTCCATGAGTTGTTTAAATGTGTAATTCTTCAAGGTCAGAGTCATCATTTATCTGTGAAACTGGTGTTTTCGATAAATTCAGTTTTTGATTATTATTATTACTTTTTGATTGAATAAAAGTGAATGAATTTGGTTTTTTAATCTCATTTGATTCATTGCCGCGTTTATTTGATGGTGTTAACCATGATGGTTTTTTAACAGTAAAAGATCGAGTATGTTTGTTATTGTTTAAATTACTATCATTCATAGTTTGCTTATCATTGTTTATATTAGTATTAATATTGAATGAGTTCAATTTGTTTAAATTATTCATTGGTGGATTGTTATTAGTTTTCGAGGATGAATTAACCATCCACTGAAATTAACATAAGGAAATGAACAATTAAAAGAAAAATTAAAAATTCAATTAAGGATAAAAATAAATAAATATTTTTAATTGTCATTAGATTTCAAATAATTTCAAGACAGAATTTGGGACAGATAGGGGTCAGTTGGAGACTAGACAGTGGTTAGGAACAATGCAGTAGTACATATCTGTGACTCGAAAAGACATCAAATCCATAGCTTTCAGGCTGATTGGTGAATATGTTTACTACGCAATCACTGGTAAGATGCATTCAGCATGTTGTATTCAAGCGGCTTGTTTAAAATTTGAGCTACCGAAACATCTCCATCATTATATTGCATATCATTTCTCTCGCACAGTCTGTTTGATCACTAGTGGTACTGTTGACTCTCGTGAGTATTTAAAGTGTCTACAACCTGCTGATTCGGAAGTTTGTGATAAACTTGAGAAAAAGCAAAATTGTGGGGGAGAGAACGTATCCCAATAGATGAGATAACTATTGCTGACATTTTCAGCATGAATTGCCACTCCCAGAGAAGTGAAATTAACTACCTGCAGTCTTTAATCATTCATTTATATCTTTGGGTCTGAAAATGTACTTCTGAACTTTTTTCAATTGGCTTTCAATCAGGTGTCGTACATTTGTCGAGAAAGACAAAGAAGGAATATCATAAGGATGGATTATTTTTCACTTCAGGTCAGACAGTATTGTGTCAAGCAGTCGACTATGAATGACCGTTTTACTTCAAGAGCCTGGATGAAGAGAAAATATCGTGCAGTAAATTTCACTGAAAGTTCTGTACACCGTGTATGAACACTGTTCAGAATAAAGCTATTGCTATACCAGCTGTGAAAAGGAGATTTGTTAATGTCAGTCTTTTGTCATAATGTTATACTGCCAATCGACAAAGGTTGAGAATTAAAACCGTTTTGAATCCTACTCAGTAACTAACTCAAAGATAAATATCCTAGGTTATTAATGTGAATATCTTAGGTGCGATCACTCCTCAGATTGTGGATGAAGAGCCTAAGATAAGGATGAAACAGCTGTCCAGTGATCTTCGGTTTTTAATAATCCTACAGTAAAAATCATCGAAGAGGAGATACAACACCCCACTGAAATATTGTAAGATAACAACTATCCGTTGAAATTCACAAGGTTTTACAGAAGTGTCAAACAAAGAGGTCTACCGATCTAGCCAGTCAGCTCTTAGAAAGGATTTTTTTATTATAGCTTGATTCCACACCGTATTTTTTGTACAAGTAAGAAATTTTCAGCATATGATATCAGTAGCCCAAATTGTGCAACGTCGACCATTGATATCAGGTGTGCGTCGGCGGACCATTTGCCAGGTCGGCAAGAGTCTTAACCGCTTTGCCACCCTGCCGTTCAAGGGTGATCAACAAAGTCTGGTCATCAGACAGAGACTCAAGGCGACAATTAGTAAAACAACTTACTATGCAGCCAAACGTATTTTCATTAGAGAAAACGAGATCTATGCTGTCCTGTAAACCCTCGCTGCATCCACACGAAAGTGTCACATCCTACTAAGTTTGCCAATTTTTACATGCATGTGTATGGGTGATCACACTTACATAGGGGGGACCCGTTGGTCTCTGCAGGTTAGGGTTACAGAACATATTCCAAAGTGGCTGCAATAACAAATAATAAAATCACCGGATACAAGTGATCTCGGAAATAGATGTCCACATTGAAGTTAATCTGTGAATCAGTCTCCAGTTCATCAGTGGCTAATGGATGGATGTCTTGCAGTTCTAAGGAGAAGTTGTGTCTGGTGAGGTACACCATATTGGATGTCAATTAAACGCTTATCGCGATGTAAGTGGTCGGTTATAACATTATTTCGTGAATAGACAGAAAGTAGAATAATTGACGAGTTACTGAATTTCAAACCTTATCACCGAGTAATTTGAAAGTTCAAAGTTCAACCTCTGTTGGAGTCATGGGTGTGCACTGCTTACGATTGCCAAACTATGACGAACAGAAAGAAGGGCCTTTAAACATGTACTAAAGAGCCTTCGACTAAAGTGATCGAATACTTTGAAATAAAGTGATCATATTAGATATGTATATTAACTCCTCGAGAATCGGGAAGGCGAGAAACACATTCATCAACCTGAAACCAATCTGGAAATCTTCGTCACTCAGCACCAACAACAAAATACGGATTTTCAATACAAACGTCAAGTCAGTCAGTTCTTCTATACGGATCAGAAACTTGGCGGCGGGTCACAAAGAATATTTTCAACAGGTTGCAGACCTTTATCAACAACTGTCTTCGCTCTATACTGAAGATCAGATGGCCGAAAGGAACAAGAACCAAATAGAAACTATGGGAACAAACAAACAAGAAACAATCGCTCAACAAATATGCAGGAGAAAGTGGAGATGGATTGGACACTCGCTGAGGTGGCCGCTGGGTGACATCGTGTGTCACGCCAGTGCTCGAGTGGAACCCGAAAGGGAAGCGACGAGTGGGACGTCCAAGAGTGACGCGAAGGAGATCGTGTGAAGAAGAGTTGAAACAGTATGGACTAACATCGATGCAGGTGAAAAGTGCAGCAGAAGACAGAAGCAAGTGGAGGCGTGCAGTTGGAGCCCTATGTTCCACTAGGAACCCAAGGGGACAATAATAATACTAACTCCTCTATTACTGAGCAACTGATAGACAAAGGACGTGGAATGGACGCATTGGAAAAGATTCAAAACAATTAAGAAACCAAACAATCCAAGTCTTCTACATTTTGCTCAAGTTACCACACTAAAACGACTGAAACCTGAATCCGTTGTGGGACTTAAATTATCCTGGTAACTCTCGGCTTACTAACTCTTCATTATTTTGCTCCTAAATCCGTTCCCCACTTTTTGCTTGACTTTCATGTCAAACTTAATGTTTCACCCTTTGAATTCTACTCAGAATATTACGTCATTATTATCATCGCATTTCACTTCGTAACACCGGAATTTTCGATTTTTCAATCTTTTGAGCTCTCATCACTGTATTTTAATGATAATAATAATAAAGCTTTATTTCAGACAATATGCGAACATATGGCACAGAAATTTTCAGCCTATTTAGTTCCAAAATACTTTTTACTTCATACAGTATTTACATGCAAACTGATAATCTGAAGGATATCTTCATTTTGTTGAAGAATTGCACAGCATTTACTTGAAAGAAAGTTAAATCAGCGCGTAAGTTCATGTATAGGTCATTTGACATAACTGGACGATTAAAACAATGATAAATCCAGATGAAATTAAGCATTTTGGTGGAAAGCGATTCGGGTAGCTCAGTGATTTAAGTAGACCGCTTATTTTCTGTCTAATTACGCAACTGTCGCTAACTTATCACCACCCTAACAAATATTTTCATCATCCCTACAAAAACCAATACTTGAAAAATTGATCTGATGCTCACTAGCGACTGGCCCTATTCAGGCAGTTAACCTGGGGTTCTTGTGGAAAGTCGTGACCAGTAGGGTGCAGCAAGTTGAAGATGAGGCAGTAACTCATCGCAGAAGACATTGCGAAATGGTCGCGCTATGTCGTGAATTGGCAGAAGTTAGAATTCATGGGCCACTGGATTGGGTTTCGGTGGCTCAATGGTCTACAAATTGCCTTGTAACGAGAAGGTCTTGGGTTCGAATCCTGGCGGTGGGTGAGTACTGATGAATATTCTGTTTGTTGTTTCACTATGACTTTTTAACCACAATCCTTACTGGAGGATTGATTCATTCTTGACGATAAACAAAATGAACGTCAAAGTTGTATCATAACCGGTTTTAACGCCGTCCGGAACAAGCTGGATTCAGGAAAAGCAAATCATGTGCTGATCAAAGTGCAACTCTACGCCTTAATATCATCGAACAAAGCATAAAATGACAGTCAAACCCGTGCTCTAACAACTTCACTGACTTTGAGAAGGCCTTCGACAGACAGCGTTGACCAAGAATTAATCTGGAAACTGCTTCAATACTACAGCGTGCAGTGCCAAAATCTTTATCAATTTCATTCAACAAACGGCCATACATATGACAATGTCACATGTCAGATGATCCAAAACGGGAAACTTGGCGAAGCGATCGAAACGAATATAGGAGTAAGACAAGCTGGCTGTCTGTGTGTTGTCACTGATGACATTCTTAATTGTAGTGGACTGGATTATGCATCAGACTGTGCATAGGGAGTGAGAAGACAGAGAAACGCTGCAATGACCGATAAGGAGACACTCGAAGATCTGAATTTCGCAGATGATATTTATTTAATGTAATTCAAAATCGAAGACTTGCCGTTGAAAACCAACAAACTGGCTGAAGAAGCAGTGGAGACAGGGTTTCAAGTGGACATAGAGAAGATGGAGGCAATCAAGATAGCCGACCAACAGCGACAACAGCCAACCACCAACGGGATATATTTGAAAGAGGTTACTTCCTGACTTCGCTTATCTGGCCAAGAAGCACAGTTTCAACCACAGGTCGGTGGAATAGATTAAAATGTCAAAGCCAACCAGGCAGAATCGGAAAGGCAACATACACCTTCATCAACCTGAAATCTTCTGCACTCAGTATAAACAATAATATTCGGATTTTCAACACAAATGTTAAGTGAGTCAGTCAGTTCTTCTATACCGGTCAGCAACTTGCACTGCGAGTCACGAAAAGGATTTCCAACAAGTCACTGCAGACATTAATCAATAGCTGCCTTCGCTGACTCCATAGTGAAGATCTAGTGTCGAACCAGCCGGCTTGAAAGAATTAACAACAAGAAACTCTGACTGGGAACAAACCAACCAAGAGCCTATTGCTCAACCAGCATGCAGAAGAAGATGGAGATGGATTGGGCATAAGTTGAGAAGGCCGTCGAATGACATCGCGCGCAATGTAGGCCATCTCTCGAGTGGAATATCAGTAGGAAGCGACGACTGGCTCGTCGGTGAGAGGATAACACGGAGGAGATCGTTCGAGGAGGAGGAGATGAGAGATTATGGACCCAACTGAAGAGGATGGTATAAAATAGAAGAAAGTGGATATGTGTTGTTGAAGCCCTATGTTCCACTTGGAACCCAAGGGAATAATAATAACTGGTTTTATTAAACATTACAGATTGTCAGCAGTTGATGAGATCCATTGTTTTCTGTAGCAGTGTTAATTCTATTTCTGTTTAAATTTATAAAAGGGGAAACCCTGTAACCCTCTGGATACCAATTTCTCTCTAACCGATATTATTTCATGACAAAGTTTACATCTGAACTAATCCGAATCCATAGAAAAAAACCCCAATTCTGAACATTCTCAAGTCATAGAGAGTGTTTAAGAAAGACTTTTTAAACATTTTTACATCAAGAAACATATCAAGCTGATTTTTTTGTTTAAAAACGTTTCTTACTTCGACATCAGCACCATCTGAGTGTTTTTTCGGTCCAAATAAATCATTCCAAAGTTCTTGTTCTCTTGCTTTCCCAAAACTTTTATTGTTCCAAATTATTTGTTTTTTTCGGCAATATTGTTCGATTCAGTTTGAATTCCAAAAAAAGAAACAAAAGGATATAAATACTCGCATAAAATATTTCACAGATCGATAAAAGGTGATCGAATTTAGTTATTTTATGAGTTAAGATGTGTAGGTCTTCTTATATTATGTTCATGAGAAATATAACCTGATGATGTCTACTGTGATATTGAAACGTTCACGGATTAGACTTCAACTGAAATCAGTTCATGGTTAAGTAATCTGGTTGACTGTCCTGAATCACTTCATACAATAAGTGTCATTCATATTATTATTGTTTCCTTTATTTCCTAGAGGAACATAGGACTTATCCGCACGTCTCCATTGCTTTCGGTTCTCTAATTCAGTCTTCACCTGGCTCCATGTCTGCCCACACGCTTTCATCTCCTCTTCACATGACCTCCTCCAAGTCACCCTTGCACTGACGACCAACTCGCCGCTTCCCGTTCGGGTTCCATTCGAGCAATGGCCTGTCTAGTGGTGCCACTTGATGGTTTCCTCAGAGTATGGCCAATCTATCTTCTGGTTGGTTCGCTCCCAGAGATCTCTCACTATTGCTGATCTTTTCTGGCCGGCCATCTGATCTTGAGTATTGAGCGAAGACAACTGTGTGTAGTTTGTTTGAGATGCTCTTTATGACGCGCAGTGCAAGTCTCTCATCCGTATAGTAGCACTGACTGATTTCACATTGGAGTTGAAAATCCGGATGTTATTTTCGATGCTGAGTGCTGTTGATCTCCACACAGACTTGAGAGTAATGAAAGCTTGACTTGCTTTTCCGATCCTTGCTTTGATATCCTCATCAGTTCCGCCTGTAGTTAAAATGATGCTTCCCAGGTAGGTAAAAGAGGTTGTTTCTTTCAGCTTCCTCCCATTTAAGCTGAGTGTTGTCTGTTATTGATGTTGCTGCCCAGCAATCTTCATCACCTCTGTTTTCTCAATGTTCACCTGAAGTCCTGTCTTCGATGCCTCTTCTGCCAACTTGTTGCTTTTCGCTTGCATACTCATATACTAATGAACTAGTATTATTTATTTGTTAAACATGCTGATGAGTAATGTATTGATTTTGACGTTGTTGGAGGGTAGGATCCAGTTGGCAGAAAGAAATCAACTTAGGTTTCATATCTTTATACGCTTGTCTGGCAAGCTTACCTATAACCTCGGTGAAAGTGGTGTTCCCTAAAAAGGTTCCAGTTCACACCATCAAGTAATAGAGTCACAAATGTTTCTACTGAAATATTCGGACCACCAGTGACCTATTGTACAACTTTAGCGGACGAACTCGTTTGGTACTGGAGTTAGGGGGATCACTTTAAAGTCCTGTCCAAGTCAGCAGATTGGAATCTTAACTAATAAAACTCAGTCAGTCGTGAAGACTGGACATCATGATGCTAGTCATACTCAAGTGACTAATCAGGGTATCTGTTAGAGTCTTACCGAAGTTGAGTCAGCCCCCCCACCCGCCGAATAGCCCGACAGTTATGTCTTTGACACCGGTTCATATGTCTTTCGAAGTGTTGATAAGCACAAACCTTAGACAGTGGATTTTTCGAAAAATTTCCACAAAATAATTTTCTATTTCTTTAATGCTTTCTTATAAGACAGGAAAATCGCTAAGATATACAGAAGAGAATCTTTTAGAGGGTGATTTCATTGGCTACAATTTTAATTCAAGATCTTTATGTAGTCAGAATTATAAGAAAAAGACATAAAAAGCAGAGAAAATTTTCTTTCAGACGATTCATTTTCATAAGCTGCACAGTCGTATTGATATTTAGCGAGGAATCCTTAAGACAACCGATCAGATGCTGGTAAAATTTGACCTCGAAATCGTATTACTTAATGTAAGGTGTGGTCTAGAAAAGGCAACTAATCGGAAATAAAAACAAGGGGGCAGAAGTTGGAATGACGTAATAAGTGTGAGAAAATGACTAATTAATATGTTTGCGTAGAGTGGAGAAGAAGTAATGGAAAGACGATAAAGTGTTTTTATAAAATCTGTATGAAAACGCAATGCTATTAATAAACAGTAATAGAGTGATAATAAAATAGGGACGATGGGAATAATAATGATAGCAAAACACGTAGTTCAACGAAGAGTCTCTTTTCGGCGAATTCATTTTCTTAGCTGTACAATCGCAAATACACTTGTGTTATTTTGTATTTATGTGTACATTAGGTTTGTCAAACAAAAATACAATTCGTTATGGTGAAGATTGGTAATTGGAGTTACATAATACAAAATCAGTCAAGAAAAATAGGTGTTAATGAAATTAGGGTAGTAACAAAGGTGATGAGTTGTCACAAACATTTGCTAAAAAAGAAGTTATGTAATAATATGAATAGTTTGATGGTTGAGTTGTACTCAGGATACACATAGGAACAAAGTAGAGAATACGAAATTACGTAAGAGTTTTAAATGAATAGAAGGAATATAAGCAAATAAGGAACAGGCAAACAAACAAAATTAAGTCATCAAAAATCAAATCAAGTTGTTACCATGACAGTAGAAGTGGTTGAAAAATTCTCTTTTGTATGCACAGCTCCAGTTTTTCTATGTGAATAGCCAGAGCTTCAGCGATTCAAAGAAGACGAAACTGTATTGCCTTTGGTAGGTTATTCTTGACTCTGTAGATTACTTTGAAGGATGCGCGTCGAACGACAGATGTACCTGGCTTCACAGCAGCCGGTGAACTATAATATGCACATAGAAGTGGTCAGATGCAGGATCTTCTCCTTGAGGCTTCTGCAGATCAGTGGGCGACTGGAGAACACTATTCTTAGTGTTGCTGCAAAGAATGTTCTTCTCAGAGATGATATGATCCTTCTTTTGAGAATATCGGTTGTTAAATCTCCCTTGAAATCCAAGTTCACGTAGAGTTTCTTTTTAGGCGCAAGTGAAGTTGCGTTTCTCCGAATTCTTGGTTTGATATTTTTGTCAATGAATCTTATTGGGTATCTATTTTGGATGAAAATTTCTCTCAGAATATCTTATTCTGTTTCCAGAACGTCGGGTCTACAGATGCGTCGGATGCGAGTGGTAAGTGATTTAATTAAATTTCGCTTTTGTTGAATAGGTACCCAGCTATAGAAGCTTGTTAGTTAACCATTCCAAGTAGCTTCTTAGGCTCCCAAATAACAGCACTGGAAGGCATTAAAACTGTGAAGAAGCCAAATAGCAAAACCAGATTAGAGTATCAAAGCAAATGGAGATTTATATAAATCTTACGTCGATGATATGAAGTTCAGGGGAACAAGGGATAATAATCACAAAATTTCGATAAAGAAAGGAAGACGAAATTCGCAGTATAAAATGATATCGCCATCATTCTATTTCACAGGTTCTCATCAACAGCACACCCCTACCTGAAATCACAATGGATATATAGATGATAATAACATAGTTTTATGTTTGAGTGGTATTAGAGAAGAAATGCTATAAAATTGATGCATTCAAAGTGTAAGCATTACAATTTTTAGTTTAACATATTCCAAGAAACCTGTGCCTAAAAGGAAGCAAATATTCTCAGAGTGCAATTACCAGACATATTATTGATACCTGACATCTCGTAGAGATTTCTATGTCCTTCAAAATATTAAACAGACAAAGGACAGCAAATTTACTACGATTTGCTGAAGCCATCGCAATCAAACGATTCAAACTAACCAGACTTATGCATACAGAAAGAGAGTGTGATTAAGCTCTCACTGCCTTGGTAACTGAATTTTGATTTTGATTACATTAATTAGTCATCTAATTCAGTGATCTCAACTCACTGAGCAAATCTCAATCTTATAAGCTGTAACCGTTTTTGTTTCTTTTTTGAGTTGCTAGGTGAACCTACAAGCTAACACTGTTTGTTAATTAATTTTTCTCTGTTTTCTGTCTTACCCCTCGTCTCTCTTCTCTACTTTGAAAGCGTATAAATTGATGATGAAAACTTAAACTAAAAACTGTAATGCTGCTTACATTCTGGATGCATCACTTTTATAGTATTTCTTCCCTACTACCACTCAAACATTAAACTATGTTATTATCATCTATATAACCATTGTAAATTCAGATAATCTACGGCAGCTGATGAGAACCTGTGAAATAGAATGATGGCGATATCATTTTATACTGGAAATTTCGTCTTCCTTTCTTTATCAAAATTTATCAAGGGAACCAAATGTATAAAATCACAAAATTAATTGAATTATTCAAATAACCATCCGTATCGAAAGAAGTTTGTTCATGGAGGGATTTTTAGTCAAATTCTTTGATTGGACACTAGTTAGTAACTCGTGTAATGTGTCTAAGCTTTTCTTTGGTGTAGACTGAATTTTATTATAGTCAAGTTTGCAATGCTGTCACCATTCTAGGTGGCTCGCCATCACGATGCACTGCACTTTGAATTGTTGGTGTTAAATGGTTGGAAGCAATCACCAGGAATGTACGTGTATTCCGCAGCGAGTGATAGTGTTCTCACAATCTAACCTGCACTCTCATCATTTCAAGTGTCAAAGCATTGTCTATTAGACCATGAAATGTTAAATTAACCTCAATATTAATAATATTTCACATTTAGATGGTTGGAGGTAATCGGTAGGAAAGCTTGCCTGACCTAGGTTTCGTGCTAGTTGGCACTCACCAGTCAGGACAGTGTATCTAGAACCTTGAAGGAACTTATGTCCCTTCTGAGATTTGAACCCACATCACCCAGTGCCACAGTCAGAGAAGTTACCACTGAGTTATGCACACGAAACAAAGGAATAGACACATTACTGGCTGACTGACTGACTGGTTTCAATGTAGAACCTTGCACAGATGTGCAGCAGTTCGAGTTGCCACACTTCCACTCAGCACACAAAGCCAGAGAAGAAAGTAAAAAGAAATGCAAAACAGGGACAGTAAACAGAGATATGGGGCAAAAAGAATGGTAATATCAAAAATATCCAATTCAGCCCTACAGGAGGTTAGACACTAGCCTGAATAGCCAAAAGGGTACCGTTTCTGACTACAGGACTGGGTGATGCGGGTTCGAATCTCAGAAGGGATATGAATTCCTTCAAGGTTGCAGAGTTGCCTTGCTGACTAATGAGTGTCGAATAGCACGAAATCTAGGCCTAGTCAGGGTTTCCTGACGATTGCCTCTAACCATCTAATATCGGAATTTTCAGATCAAGACCTCAGCTATACAATCTACTAATTCAGTAGTATATCAAACAGTTGCACCATTCATTAACAACCTGTTCCCCTCTCTATCTCTTTCTGCCTAATTCAGTATGGTTAAGACTGACATGCGATCTAACTGGGCAGCCAGTGTAATGAAATGATGGTTCGGGTAAACAGTTCCCTCTCATGTTTACCAAGGAGAGAAATTGATTGGCTAGTACATTCATTTCTGTATATTAGAAAACAAAACGCCAATGAATTAAACCAATTCAAAATATGATTTCGAATAATTTACTCACGTATTTTTTATTAAATCATCCTTTTCATTCGATATTACTTGCTGTGGTGATGTTGAAAATAAATTTAACTTTTGATTTTGTTTAGTTTCCTCTTCTTTCTCAACTTGTTGTAGGGTTTGTAAAAGACGAAGTTTCTGTTGTGTTTCCTCATCGTCGTCTCCATCACAGTCGTGGTTGATGTCGTCATTCTTTTTCGTCAAGTTCTCCTTCATCTTCGTATTTTGCTTTATCCCCATCACCTTGTCAACTTCTTGTATTCCGCATTTATCTTTTTTAGTTTTTAAATAATAATCGTTTTCAGAGAATTCATATTTTTCAGATTTTAAATTTACAGGGATTGGTTTGAAGATTTCATCTTCATGAAATGATTTACATGTCTGAAGTATTGGTGTATCATTCTGGTTGGTCATCAGCGAAGTATATTCATGTACTGCCGCTGGTAGGGATTGTTCTTGATTTGGTTGTTTTATTCCAGTCATATTTAACGGTTTACTAGAAGTGCAAGTTAAAATTACAAAAGAAACTCAAGATGAATTAACCAACCAACTGTATATACAAATTTACATGTATCTGCGGGAGCAGTTACATTGGAAGAACAAAAAGAAGAGCATATCTACGATTTTCTGAACATGTACCAAAAAGCTTACGTCTAAAGGGAACAAATACTTTAAACAGTGCCATCGCCAGGTATCTTCTTGACACAGGTTATGAGGTGGACGTCGAAAAGTCATTCAAAATTATCAATAAGCAAAAGAGCTCAATTCTCCTTAAGTTTGCTGAAGCTATTTCCATCAAGCGCCTGAAACCTGATTTGTGCGTTCACAAAGAAGCGGTTATCAGTCTTTCTTTACCCTGGTAACTGGATATTTTTCATCCGAATGCGAGATACTGAAAAGTTTTCATTGTGTATGATTATTGTTGTTCGGAATTGTGTTTAATATTGCATATATATGTATATATTATTAGTATATGCGTATATTGATCGATTGATTTTTGTTTAAAATTAACCCTGTGCAAGTATGTTAAAATTGTTTTTGTAGATACATTTAATAATGTCTTTGACCTGACGAGAAGGCGACGAATTAAAAGATGGTACCATTTTATTCTGCTAAAACTGTAGTTGTTGCTTTGTTCAAATTCATTAAGGGGAATAAATGTATGAAATAACCAATAATATTTGAGTATTATATGGCAACAAGGACAACAATAAGAACCAATCAGCATCAACGAGTGAAATTTGCAGGAAGTGAGCTTTTTCACTTATTTAGGCAGACAGCAAAGTGTTTCAACTATAAGCAGTGGCATAGATCAGGGTGTGAAAGCTAGTCACTAGTGCGTTGGTGGCACAGAGGTTATGACTCTTGCCGATCATGCACATGGCCCGGGGTTCCATCCCCTGCCGACGCACACCTGGTATCTATGGTCGGCCTTCAAAATTTGGGCTACCGATATCACATGCTGAAAATTCCATACCTGTACCAAAAAATACGGTGTGGAATTAAACTATAATCAAAAATAAAAATATAAAATAAATAAGACCGGAAATAAGTAAGGAAGTCTATCGCACTCATTATAAGGAACAAGGAAGGTTCTGACCTTCAAAACTAATAAGAAGTTACTTCACAGTTATGTGTCGTTTAGAGGCTTAGAGAGTGAATATCACAAAAACGCCAACTTTTATCGACAGCTGCGTTCGTTGTATGATGAAAAGCAGATGATTTGGAAGGAGAGGTAACAAGGAACTCTGAGAACGAACCAACCAAGAACCTGTAGCCCAATAAATATGCTGAAGGAAAAGGAGATGGATCATACACACTCTGAGGGGACCATTGAGGGACATCACAAACTGGTCCGGCAAGTGGAACCCAAATGGGAAAAGGCCAGTTGGGCAAGAGTCCGAGGATGACATGAAGGATATCATGAGAGCAGCCTGCTGAAAAACGCTGTGCCGAACAGAATAAAATAGAGATACTCTGCTGAAGCCCTGTATTCCATTTCGTAATCCAAGAAAATAATAATAAAAATATACATAGGATACAAACGTACTTTCCGAGGCTGAGGACTTCGGTCCAATCAGTCGACAGGAGAGTCAAAATCGAATTAAAAAACACAACGAATTAACCAATAATATTTGAGTATAAGAACAACAATAAATACCAATCACTTTCGACTGCAGAAATCTAAAGGGAATCACCTCTTTCACTTGTCCGGGCAGCAACGTTTCAACTACAGCCATCACAGATGAAAACGTCAAAGCTAACCAGTCAGGATCTAAGAAGTACGAAAGACATTCACTGCTCTGAAATCAACGTGAAAATCTACTGCTCTCAACTCAGCAAACACGATCCGGATCTTCACTACTAAAGTGAAGTTAGTCTGCGCTTCTCTATATTTCCGAGAATTGTAGATGCATCACTCAAGAAAGGCATACCCAACAGCTGCTCTCTCCTCATCCTGAAGATCAGATGAACAACCGGCTGGGAAGAATAAGCAACAAGGAGTTCTTGAAACGAACTAACCAAGAATCTATCACCGAATCAAGAAAGATGTAGAAGAAAATGGTTTGTTATTAGACACACCCTTGTTATTTTAATTTTGATTTGATTCCCCGAAGGTCGGACGAGTTTGCGGAATGAAAAGATGGAATAATGTATATCAATTTAGCTGAGATCTTACAAAAATAATTTTCACATATGTCTACTATTCAATCTGCACCCAGTTACTGTGGAACTATCAGGACAAATCTTCACCAGAGTTCGTGTAATACACTACCAATTTCTTCACTTAACAACATCTGTTAGAGAATCACTGAAAGTTAGAGAGTACTGAATAGCTGTTCGGTTCTAACTTGGGACCTTTCAGAAGAATATACCCACGAATCGACTACCCACCAGACCTAGAGCCAAGCATGTTGGCCATTCAGACATGAATGGCTGCATTCTTATTTCTCAGGAGTGGGAGTCGTCCACTTCACTGCTTACTGAAGCTGGCGTCCCCCAAGGCACTGTTCTTTCTCCTTTTCTGATTTCTTTCTTCTTGCTTGACTTGCCTCACTCTGATGAAATGAACTCATCACTGATGAAGGTTAAGGATAAAATAGACGAAGACAACCAACAGAATTTTGTGTATCAGATAAACTGTGGGGATTGTTATAACGTATATGTAGGAGGAACTTCCAGACAGGTAAGTATAAGAGTGAAGGAGCATAAACAATGTCTAAAGGTGGCTCGAAAGACCTCTACAGACTTGAAGAAGCTAGCAAAAAGATAGGCGATTGCATTGCACTCGACAGGAACGGGACACAAGATAGACTTGGATAGGACTAAGGTTCTAAAAAAGGTTTTGGTTCGTATAAACAAAGACCGACTACAGAAACCCTACATAAATGCGGGTGATCCCAAAAGTTTGAACAGATGTGCAGATGTGATGTTAGCGGATGCATGGCAAGTCCTGATTAATCAATAAATAAAAGTGTATATGTATCAATAATCAATCATACTTGATCTAAATTCCCCGATTGTCTATATCTCCTTATTGAGAGGCTAACAAATGGTTTACAACTGTTTCGCCATAAATATATGCACACACACCATTGCATGCCGCATATACAAATATATATTTTTTCATATTCAGTTATCTACGATCATGAACTTTAGTGGAACGTAATCACTAAAATTCAGATGAAAAAGTACACACTGTTGGCAATGTTTAGCATCTGTAAACTAATAATTATAAGTCTGAGGTCAAATTTTGATTATAAGTTATGCAATTTTGTTTGTTTACTATATTTTGATGCTTGTTTTATGACTCATATGATTGGACAGAGCTTTTTTAAAAACAAGAGATATCCTTTTTTAAATATAAACCTCTGTTGTGTTAATTTTGGTTAATTTCCCTGAAGAAGTTCGGACCAGTTTGCCGAACGAAACAATTTTTAAATATTTTATATTCCTTTAAGTTCCCAGTGGAACATAGGGAACCTTCAAGCTAGAGCTCTTTTGAAGTCTCGGTAGCATTGGTGTTTATTTTTATATCATAAGGTTGCTAGCCTCATACCCAACCTTCCTGCTTTACCAGTCTTATAACTGACTTAGCGAGGTAAAGGAGTGTGTCGGCCAGGGATCGAACCCCCCCCCAAACGAAACACTGAAATTACTTATTTCAACTTCTATGACACTTTACAAATAGAATTTTTACATACGCCTACTTGTCACTCAGCGTCAGTGATTTTTAAACTAGTAGGTCAAATCTTGATCACAGTACATATGAATTAGTAAGTGACTATTCAAACTGAGAACCTTGAACCGGTGAAGTACAAGAATAGAGTCCCAGGATTGTAAATGTTCCAATGACCTTGAACGCATGCTAGTCATTGATTGAAGAAGCTTACCATTATTCTAGCGCTAAAATGAACCCTGTTCATGAGCTCAGATGCAAATTCCATCCAGATCACGTTTTCCAGTACTGCCTAGATAATGGATTGATAGGACGTACTCGGATATGCGGTTGTGGTGCTTCCATGAACCTCCAGTCGTATACCCAGGTCACTGATGGATATGTATTAAGATGTACACAGTGTAGGAAGCGAATAAGTGTGCGTACTGGTAAGTGACACTCTGAATTAATTGTCTTCTAGGAACTTTCTTTGAAAAGTAGAAACTGTCTTTGACGAATATCTTGTTTCTGTCCAATTACTGGGTTTTAAAGTCCGGGGTACGATCTACTGCGGCTCAAACAGCTAATACGTTGACGTCTACTGTGTAGTGGTTTCAATTTTGTCGAGATTTAGCCTCGTGGAAGATGAATAGTATTACTCAGGTGTTGGGAGGAGTCGGTGTAGTCGTCCATATCGATGAAACCGTTCTTATCAAGAAGAAGTACAATCGGGGGCGTGCCAGAGTGAATAACGTTTGGGTTTTAGGAATTTATGACACCCAGATTCGCAAAGGGTTTATCGAGCTGATTCCAGATAGGAGTGCTGATACACTCCTCCCTATTATTCAGCGTCTCGTCTTACCAGGCACCACCATTCACACAGATGAATAGGCAGGACACAATCGATTATCGCAACTGGGTTATATACATCATCCAGTCAACCATTCCGATGACTTCGTCGACCCCAGGACCGGTAATCATACCAATTCAATAGAAGGCTTCTGGGGAAGACTAAAAAATAGAATCAGAGCGATCAACGGATCTGAAAACGAAGTTGTTTTCAGTTACCTAGATGAATATATGTATAGAAATTGGTTCAATTTAAAAACTGAAACCCCTCTACAAAATTGGGAAATTTTCTTATCTCATATTAGAGGAAAATATCCTGTTTAATGTTTTTTAATGCTTTTTTATGTAAATATACAAAAAATTTTATGCAAAAATCATCATTTTCCCTGATTGGTCGGGACTCTATTGTAGAATTTGCCCTTGAACCCAGTATCTATTGTTTTAAATGCCAATGCATTATCCACTAGCCATCACATCAAGCAAAATAACATCATGTTAACATTTAGACATCTTCAGAAAGCCCACACACACTAGCAGTTGTCATGGTAACACAGGCATCGAATCCAGTATAAATTATCAATCAATACAGAATACAATAAAGAGATAATATTTCGACTAACATACTTTTCTTTATTCAATTGTACATGGTCACCATCTAAAATTAATAAAAAATATATAAATAAATGAAATTAAAAAATAATTATTTTGAAATCTATCACTAGGGTATGTGCAACCAATGTCATATGGCTAGCCCTTAATGCTGGTGCTGACTACATCCCGTTTGTCAAGTTTACAATATTTGGAATGAACTAGGTAACTACCTGTATTACTATGAGTGAAATCAATCATCAGGCAACTGAAGTACTGCGTACGTGTTTCGTACATTGTTCGTAGTCATCAGCAATGCATATCTGCGCACCAGAAGGAATTAATAATAATAATTTACTTTATTCCAAAAACAGTACTTGTGATACAGAATGGAATTTTCAGCATTAATCACAATATTGCATCTAATTTCCTCAAATTATAAATAAAGTTAATTACACAGAAAATTTTTCCACATTTACAATAGGGGTAATATCAAAAACATGCAGCATATAAAATGGAAATAATAATAATGATAACAGCTAAGGTAATGATAATAATACAAGTGGAAATTGCCGTGGGCTTGTTTTACACAGTATTGTCGATGCGGTGTAGAAATCCTAGCATGTTTAAAAATATTGAATATAATGTTCTCTTTACATGATATGGTGAGGGGAAAAACAAAGATTACAGCAGTCATAGAGATAAGTTGGTGTTTGCAGTTATGAAAGTGAAAACAAGAAGCAACAGGACCATAAATATAATAGAAAAAGTAAAACTTAAAGGTATATAAGGGTGGATGGAGAAGATTGTTTATTTACTAGATGAAAAAAGGTTAGTCAATTCTTGCCTGACGCTATTTTCATCACATAAAACACGTGCCAAGTATGGTATCATAGAATTTTGATACTTAGACGTGCGAGCATACAGTTTTCTGAAGTTACTTCTCGTTCTACCTGAGGAGATGCAAGGTGAAAGCTGAGGGTGAAGTGGATGCTCCAAGTCAGACAAAATCCCTTTAGCAAATTTACTGCACGAAGTCAAGTGGTTATCGACAACGACGTTAACTATGTAGTCCACTGGGACACCACTCACCCTACTGACAGTCTTCAGCATTCTACGAATTGTGACAAAGTCCTTTTTAAGCAAACCAGGAAAGAATAAGGGTGAACAATAAAGAAGAATAGGTAGGATGCAAGAGTTTATGAACTGTAAGAGGAGGGGTTGAGTTATACCCGAGTGCCTTAATTTCTTAATGTAAAATGTCAGGCGGAATATTTTACTGGAGATCGCTGAGACATGAGAAGACCAGGAGAGATCAGAAGAGAGAATAAGTCCAAGATACTTAACTTCTGATTTAATTCCTATATCATTGTCATCAATCTTACAACTGTCATGAGAATCGATGGCTTCTTTTAACTGTCGTTTACATCTTAAGCTGAAATTATCAGTTTGACATTTAGAAGGATTCAGTTTAAGACCGTTAGACTCAGACCATTTACTGACTCCCGACAGAAAGCTATTTATTTTGGTACAATCTAGCTGGGAGTTAACAGCCATTGAAACAGTTAAATCATTAGCGTACTTCACAAAGTTTATTTCATCAGACTGAGGCAAGTCATGTAAGAAGAAAGAAAAAAGAAAAGGAGAAAGGACAGCGCTTTGAGGGACACCAGCTTCAGTAGGTAATGAAGTGGAGGACTTCCCTTTATCTCTTTAGCGATTTGAATTCTTATCACTAAGTGCTTCAGTCAGAGAAATCACATTAGTCATTCACGACCTAAAGGGCTTATCGATAATATCTCTTACTAGAAAGTACAGGTTCAAATCTATGAGAAGACAATATTTCATTGGAAATTGTAGATGCATCATGTTAAGGAGTGCTAATAAGCACAAAACCATTGATTCAAGGCTTCATGCTATTTGCGTTTAACTGCTATTGTCGAATAATCAGGTGATTCAACAGACACACCACCGACAAAAGCTGTCGACTCATTTGACTAGAAATGGTCACTAAGTCGCTAAGAAAATGTTCTTTTACGCTTATTTATCATATTCCTTCGAACTCTTCGAAGATGGGAGGAACTAGTCTTTTATGTATAGATGAAGTTATGGAAATTCCAGGGAGTAACCTTGATCCACTCACTCACAATAATTTTGTCTTACCTCTGTATCTACACTGGCCGTGATAAATCTAACAAATAAATCCGCCATTACTTTTTCTCATCTCTCTATTACATTTACTACCTGTATTGGAAGTTTGACCACGGATTGATATCATTTAGAGAACCATTGAAGACCAGGACTCCTAGGCAATAAGCAGCCACCCAAGGGTTTCGAGCACAAGCTCTTCCAGCTAAAAAGCAGGCTCGGAGATGATTCAGCTGTAAGGATCTGACTCATCATTGGTCAGCCGATGAATTCTAACCTCTACCAATCCGTGGTTTAAACTTTGATTATTCATATACCGCATCTTCAGTATTACGTAACTTCCAACTACACAAGACTTCGGCTTAATATAATCAATGGAAATAATATCGAACTAAAGTGTAGAATGAATAAGTGAGATCCACATGACCTTGATTAAATAGTGTCCCACTCATCCATTTGCAGTAAAGTCAATCTTCCATTGGTTAACCAATCAAAGTACTCAATCATAAAACAAATCCGTTGATCTTTTAATTCCTCAATTGATATATACTGGAAATTCAAAATTGAGCGGTGTTTATTTATGAATCAAACGTCTAGCCTGAAAAAGAACCTACGAAAATTTACTATGTCCAAAAGTTACTCACAAACGAAACTGTGTGCAGACATTATTTAAAAGAGTTCAAACACATTGTAGCACTCCAGAGTTGAAAAGAATGGAAGAAAAGTACCTACAAACGGTCTTCAAAAAGAATGGTTATCCACAAAATTTCATCAAAAAGTGTTTAAAGTCGAATCAAAACACCAACAAAGAAACATCATCATCAAAGACCACAAGAAAATTCATTCTATCATACATGAGAAATATCTCTGAAATAACAGCTAGAATACTGAAACCGTTTGATATAGATATAGCACACAAGCCAGTCAAATCGCTTAATTCGATATTATGCAAACCGAAAGATCGATCTAACAGAAAAAGGGAATAAAATTAATACCATTTACAAAATAAATTGTATGAACTGTAACAGACATTACATCGGCCAAAGTGGGCATCCCCTTCGAATCAGAATCCAAGAACACAAATCAGCTGTGAAAAGACACGATATATATTCTTTAGTATCAATGCATATAGACAATTACGGCCATCAATTTGATTGGGATAATGTCGAAATCTTAGACTGTGGAAACACTACAAGTGCCAGGGAATTCCTAGAAGCCTGGTACTCAAACGAATATGTGACTAACAAACACGTTAATGTAGATGAAATATACCAACTAATAAAAAGTAAATCAGGTAACCAGAAAGTTTAAAATCCAAGTCAACAGAAAATGGTCAATACATTTGTAAAGATAGTTACCAGGAGACGCAATTATATCACTTATGAAGAAATTTAAGTCATTTCACTTTATGCTAAATATTGCGCTTAAGATGTTGTCCAGAAGGACGACAAAAGCTCCACAACTAAATCAACCAGCTCAGAGAACACTATTAATTGCAAATAGTTAGACTGACAGAGAACCACACAGTTTATGCTTTTAAAACGTCTAACTTATTGGACCATATGTTCTCAGTTTTTTAGCTGGCTGACTCGTTGGGCGGGGAGGGAGTGTAGAGAAAAAATTACTTAGAAACTGTATAACATTGGTAGAAGACCTAGACTAGATCGGAAGCCTAAAGGATACAAATTAGGACTTTCTCACGGAGTGAGGATAAAAGATATTGTGACAATGTCACATGTCAGGTGATACACAACAGAAAACTCAGTGAGGCGCTTAAGTGAATACAGAAGCAAGACAGGGCTGCCTATTATTACCGATGATATTCTTAATTGTGGTGGAATCGATTATGTGTTAGACTGTTGGGTGCGAGGAGTCAGGAATACGCTGGACGACCGATAAGAAGACTGTAGAAGATCTGGATTTCGCGGGTGATTTATGTCTCATGTCACACAAACGCAAAGGCTTACAGGAGAAAATCAAACAGCTGGCGGAAGATGCAGGCAACCAAGACACGACTCCAAGTGAAAACAGGGAAGACAGAGGTGATGAAGATACTCACGTAGCACTACTACCACCAAGAAACATCACGGATAACTGTCAAGGGAATAAATTTGAAAGAAGTCACTTCCTTCACTTATCTAGAAAGCATCATTTCAACTACAGGCAGTCGGAAAGAATAAAGATGTCAAAACCAGAATCGGAAAGGCTAAATACACCTTCACCACTCTGAAATCAATTTGGAAGTCTTCTACACTTCTCAGCACAAAGAACAAGATTCTGATTTCCAACACAAATATTAAATTAGTCAGTTCGTCTATATAGCCAAACACTTAGCGTTTGGGTGACGAAAAGCATTTCCGACAGCCTGCTGTAGACCGTCATCAAAAGATGCCATCGCTCCGTATTGAAGATCAGATGGCTAGCGAGAAAGAATTAGTAACGAGAAACTCTAGGAAAAAACCAACAGGTGAGAACCTATCGCTCAAAAATTATTCCGAAGAAAATGGAAATGTACTGGGCACACGTCATTGCGGAGATCGTCGAATGAAATGGAGAGCCAAACCAGTGCTTGCGTGGAAGGTGAATGGGATACGACGAGATGGGAATAGGTCAGAGGATATCAAGGAGGAGACGAGAGATTACGGGCAGTCGTGGGGCCAGCTAAAGAGTATCACAGAAAATTGGACAAAATGAAGATGTGATGTTAAAGCCCAGTGTTCCACTCGGAACCCAATGGAATGGTAATAACGACAAATATTCCAACTGTATAAGAAAAGTTGATACAACACCTTTAAAACAGTCAAAAGTAACAGCTGATATGATTACAGAATTCGTCTCAGAACATAATACAAAATCACATACCTGAGGAAATTTAAATCGTAGTTGACGGCTTCCGCCCTACCTATTAAAGTATACTGGAACGAAAGCGCGGCAAGGGTAATTTCGGAATAACTTATACCTTCGTTCGTGTACAAGTTATCGTTAAAACGAATCTGCCTTCACTTTATTTCCATCTACTGAAACGGAGGTAGGTACGGGTGCTTCAGCTTACACGACACAACTCGAGTCCTGGGCTTTTAAATGGTTGCATTTTCATTTCCCTAACAGAGTGCAATATACTGTATATAAAGGCAAATCTTCCTCTGCCTCGCAGCTTACTAAAGCTGGTGTTCCTCAAGGTGCTGTTCTCTCTCTGTTATTCTTTTTAATTTCTCCTCACATGAATTGTCTCTTTCAAATGAAAATCAATTTCGTTAAATATACTGATGACCTGGTTGTCTTGTTACCAGTTACGTCCCAACCTGACTGTTCCAAACTGAATAGCTTTTTGTCGGACATCAGTTAGTGATCTAACCTAAATGGTTTTACCTTAAATCCCTTCAAATGTCAAACAGTTAATTTCACCTTCAGGCATAAACGTGATCTACACGAAATGGTGTGTTCACAAAAGATGCTTTCAGCATAGAGAGCACTAAAATACGAAGTCAGTTAGACGTAAAATATCTTGGAATATTCATAGGAGAAATGGCCTAAATCCATATTTTCTGACTATCAGTAACCTTTGTATTCACAACTCTCCCCTTGAATCTCATCAGGTAGGACTAGATTATTATAATATTACTATTGTTTCCTTTAGTTCCTAGAGGAACATAGGGCTTCAGCCGCACGTCTCCATTGCGTTCGGTTCTCTGCCAACGTTTTCACCTGGCTCCACGTTTGCCCACACGTTTTCATCTCCTCTTCACATCACCTCCTCCAAGTCACCCTTGCACTGACGACCAACTCGCCGCTTCCCTTTCGGGGTTCCACTCGAGCAATGGCTTGTCTAGTGATGTCACTTGATGGTTTCCTCAGAGTATGGCCAATCCATCTCCATTTCTTCCTGCATATTTGTTGCACAATCGGTTCCTGATGGGTTGGTTCGCTCCCAGAGATCCCTCCTGTTGCTCATCTTTTCTGGCCACCTGATCTTGAGTAGTATTGAGCGAAGACAGCTGTTAATGAAGGTCTGTAGTTTGTTTGAGATGCTCTTCATGACGCGCCAAGTCTCTGATCCATAAAGTAGCACTGACTTCACATTGGAGTTGAAAATCTGGATCTTATTTTTGATGCTGAGTGCTGTTGACCTCCACACAGACTTGAGAGTAATGAAAGCTTCCCTTGCTTTGCCAGTCTCGTAAATGGTGCGGACGCTCCATGTAGGTAGCACTAAAAGTCATTACAAAAGATTATATTCTCGTACAAAAACTCAACGATACCATATTTGGCCCGACGGCGTTCTATGTGATAGAGACAGTGTTAAGCGTGAAACTTACAATTTACTATGCTATTAGCAAAATAACTGGCCCTTTTATATTCTCCTATTTGTAATTTATGGTAACACTATTTCAATTAACTTATAATTTTAGCTACTAATATTATTATCATCCTTACTTTAGTCTTTTTAAACATTTTCGACTTTATTGTCATCTTTCGGAAAACTTTACCGAACGAAGCGTTGGAATTTCTGATTTCATTTTCTGGGAGATTTTACAAATATAATTTTTCGATATGTCTACTTCTCGCTCAGCACCCAGTGATCTTGGAAATATTCGGTCAAATCTTGATCACAGTTCACATGAAGGCCTTCAAGTTTCTAACCAAAACTCAGAGAAAAGTATCAATACGCGTAAAACCAAGATCATGAACCGTTTATTTCTAGAAAAGTAATTGATTGGTGCTCATAAAGTTTTGCTATGTAGTCACGAATGTTCCATCAAAATTTTGTTTCCCTAAAAAAACCAATTAACCCTGAGTACACTAACTTGGTTGATGACGAAACGTCCATGAATTAAATATTAAGGTTAGAGATGCTATATATGTCCAAACCAAGATCACATTTAACAGTTTGAAAAAATTTGGGCATTGGGTATATGATATTCATCATAATAAACGTTTTTTGTATTTCCTAATGAATGAGAAACAAAACGATACTGTCGTTGTTTTACTGACGTTCCGCTATTTAATGATGCTGCTAATAGCTTTATCAAAGTACCATTTCTAGACTGCCTAGTTAAGAGGAGGGAAAACAGACATTTTAGCATATCTATATTCAGGAAGAAAACCCACTCCAATAAATATTTAGACTTCGGATCATCACACCCCATCAGCGCAAAAGTATCAGTTGTTTCAAGTCTTCTTAGAAGAGCACACTCTTTGATAACGGATGAGAAAGAAAAAGAAGAAGAAATATCAAACATTACTGAAACTCTCAAGTAAAACAACTACCCAAAGAACTTCATCAACGAAATCAACACTGACATTAAATATGGTCGAAAACGTGTTCCGAAAACAATGAACCTCAACAGTTGTCATTCCATATAGAGCAGAGACATCAGACGATATCAGAAGAGTACTCAGTAAGCTCGACATCAGAGTTTTCTTCAAAACATCAGACACACTACAAAGCAACCTTGTCCATATAAAAGACCAAATCCCTAAAGATTCTCTATCTAATTGTGTCTTTAAAATAAAATGCTTGAAATGTGATGCGATATACATCGGACAAACATCTCCAGAAATCAAAATCAGAAGAAATGAACACCGTAGAGCATCTCTTCGACCACCGAGAAATCCGGTTGAACTAGAAAAGCTTGAAAAATCATCAGCCATAGGTTGTCTACACGCTATAGAATCAGGCCACAAAATTGATTTTGACAATATTGAAATCATCACCAGAAAAAGCATTTCAGAAATCACAAAGAACGTCTAATATCATCAGAAGCACTTCATATCAAATGGAATCCAAATTGTCTGAATAGGAAATGATGGACTAAAACAGAATTTGACCTGGTTACAACACTCCCTCTCCCATGAAATGACAAAATCAACACGAATATGATAAGCAATTTCATTATGTAAACACACACTGCTTTTATAATTTTACACACTTATCAAATCCAACAATCTACACCTGGTTTCGTTATCTTTACCAATTGGTTAATTTGACAACGCAAAAATGCCCGCATGCTGAGGAAAGATGATTATTTATTTATTTTTTTAATTTTATTATATCTTGATTCCACACAGCATTTTGGTACAAGTATGAAATTTTCAGCATGTGGGATCGGTAGCCCAAATTTAGCAGGCCAACCATAGATATCAGGTGTGCGTTAGCGGGGGATCGGACCTCGGACCATGTGCATGGTCGGCGAGAGTCCTAACCGCTGTGCCACCGACGCTGAGTGGATTTTGTCAATTCTGGCTTAATATTACTACTCTGATAAAGCTATTAGCAGCAGCATTAAATAGCGAAACGTCAGTAAAAACAACGACAGTATCGTTTTGTTTTCCATTCATTCATTGGGAAATACAAGGGAACCTTTATTATAATGATTAAGAAAAGACTGTCTATAAGTAATTTAAAGAAACAATAAGCTTTAGAACTTACTTATTGTATTTTTAAGCTGAAAATTCAGAGAAAAAAACAAGAATGAAAACGCTTATTCAATTAGATAAAGTTAGATTCAACTATATTTTTTTAAATTTACACAATAAATAAATAAATCACTAGATGAAGCGGTTGCAATTAATACTAGAAGACCTTCTCTTTGTATACAGAAGAAGTATGTTCAACCATTATGTTTACCATGGCCTACAATAAAGCCAACAAATCCTCCATTAACACCATAAATTCCTATCACAATTTTCTTTTCTTTTCTTCTCCTTCTATTCCTCTGTTCCATTGACAAACGTCCATTTTCGACTTTTATGATTTTATTAACTTAGGTTTAAGTAGTGCTTTTCTTACTTGTTATTGTATTTACAAAATCCTGTTCATTCCACTTCACTAAATTTATTATTATTATTATTATTATTATTTGACAATCATTCACCAATAGTACTTGTAATTTTACACTATATCATCGTTATTATTTTACAATCATTCTTACTGTCGTTATTTTCAACCTTGAACTTATGTCTAGACCGCCCTATTCGTTGGTTTATTTTCATATTGTCTCACATGCCCTGATTACACTCACTCTCGAAACCTGTATTTCTGTTGACTATATTTATATATATACACACATCATTAAATTAAATTACTTCATCTCATTTCGTCCCATGTTCTTACTGACCATGCATCCCATCTGATACTTGTTCCACAATACACTTTCTGATATGATTCTAATTTGCCTTTACTGACTGGCTATTGTATGCTTAAATAAATGGATTTATAATTGTAGAGCCTGAAGAAGACGGATTTATTGAAACCACAATTGTTCGCTCTAACTATTTTGTTCTAAATAATGAACACTAAGTCAATCCAGTTGTTAGTTTAACTGTCTGTTTAGGCTGAACATTCAATTGTCAGAGTGATGTCAGATGTTTGTGTATTGTGTAATTTTTTTTTCCTTCACGTTCCCCAGTGGAACATAGGGCTTCAAGCTAGTGGCTTGAAGTTTCTGTAGCGGTGTTTATTTTACAGGATGGGGTTGCTAGCCTCATGCCCAACCTTTCCTCTTCACCAGCATTATTTCTGGCTTAGCAAGGTAAAGGAGTGCGTCTGTGGCCGGGAATCGCACCCCGGACCATGTGCATGATCGGCGAGCGTCCTAACCTCTATGCCACCGACGCACGTATTATGTAATAAATTATATAATTAGAAATGGAATTTCGGAAATTAAAGACCACATAACCGAGGTATACTGAGATTTGGGTTCGCTTTTACTGTCATTTCAACGCACAACAAACAACGTCTGAATGATCACTGGACTACTATACCCCCACTGAGAAAAAGGCAAAGATTTATTTTCTCTGCAGAGAAGGCGCTATCACTAGAAAATTGTCAATAATTTTATAGTTATTTTACATGATCAATAAATTACCAGGTTTAAGGTATAAAAATTATATTTTGATTGGTTATTTTTATTGATTATATTTAATTTTTTTACGTTTCGAGTGCAGTACACACAGCTCCCAAGGTTGAACTTTGAAGTTCCAGTAGAAGTGGAGTCCTCCTTTATGGCTGTGAGACCTAGCCGTTGAAAGTAGAAGACACGAAAAGGCTAGCTGTCTTTGATCATAGGTGTCTGCGTTCTATCTCCCGTGTGAAGTGATATAATAAGGTGAGCAATATTGAGGTGAGGCGTCGACTGCTAGGTAAGGAGGGGAAATCAGTCGACGAGACTGTGAAATTACATCAACTGAGATGGTTAGGACATGTGTGACACATAACTGCCTAGTCATCACCTTCCTCGACAATGGGCAATGTTAGCTGATATAGGGTCAGGCTGGAAAAAGGCTAGCGGCAGTCAAATCAAAACATGGCGCCAGTCAATGAAATCTACAACAGTTAGTCTAAGCCACGTATGAAGGTGTAGACTTCCTGGTTGGGGTCCTCGGGGCGGTAAAAACCAATGGTTGGAAACAATTGGTGACATGGCTCAAAATCGTTCTCAATGGCGCAGATGCATCCACTCCTTGTGACTTATGATTTCCAATGAAACTAATTGTTTTTTTTTGGGTTACAGCTTGATGCAACACCGTATTTTCACTACAAGTATGGAATTTTCAGCACGGATATCGGTAGCCCAAATTTACAGGCACATAGTTCGGGTGTGCGTCGGCAGGGGATGGAACTTCGGACCATGTGCATGGTCGGCGAGAGTCCTAACCACTGTGCCACCGACGCACTCTTCTTCGTTATTACTATTCCTTTGTCTCACACCTCTGTTTACTGTCTCTAGTATGCATTTCTTCTACTTTCTTCTCTTGCTTTGTGTGCTACATGGAGGGAGTGTGGCGACTTGAACTGCCGCACATATGTGCAAAGTTCTATGTCGAAAACAGACGGACAGACAGACAGTGGTGTTTTCTTCTCAGGGGTGGGATTGCCAGACTGACGCTTGACGCTCCCTCTTTGCCTGGCTTACCGCTCCCGACTAAGTGAGGTTTAGGGGTGGTTTGACAGAGAATAGAACCACGGACCATGTGAGTGATTGGCGAACATTCTACTACTGAAATACCTATGCACTCACCACCAAAACAACACTTTAGAGTTTGTCGTGGTCTTCAGAGGTCTCATCCTCTAACTTATCAGCATATCCAGGTTCTTCGTTGGTGTAGTGGTGCAGGGATCTTAGTCTTTTGAGCTTCTAAATCCCTCTCAGATGTCTGTTCTTTGGTGACTTCATCGTCGTACTTTCTTTGCCAGTGTTTGTCAGATTCTTGCTTAGCAAGCTCTTCATTGTCAGTAGTGAAAATATTTTCAAAAATAGCCCCTGAGTCAACTTGAAAAAGGTCAAAAGTGATGTAGGCAACGTCATTATAAACACACAGTTCATGATCCGGTTTGCAGTTTGAATTATCTATTTGAGCCGTTTTGCATTCGCAGTACGTTTTGCGATCCATTCACCTTTGTTATAGGGGCTATTTTTCTCGAGACATTCTCATTCGCCATCCATAGCATCTTACCAATCGTCTGGATCGCTCGTGTACGCATTATCGACCTGTCATCTGGACCATCAATTTTCATAGTTAGAAGCATGTTCTGCTCGTCTTCCAGTGAGCCCTTTTCTACACTATCACTGTCAATTAACATCTCATAGGTATTGTCAAGTTTTACAATGAGCGTATAAGGATGTGTCTTCAAATCACTTCTCCAAGCAATCTCTTTTTTAATCAAATGGTTTTAGCCTTTACAGCTGAAAATGACTTGAATTTTCTGGGTAGCCATGCCATATATATCAGGATGGAACATGACTTTGTATGCAGTCTCCCTATGGAAAGTTTCCAGATCCGTGTCAGAAGCGATTAGTTTAATATATGCTCCACCCCAGCCCATCTGACAATTTCGTCAAACTTAACACTGGACCGTAAGACAAGAGTTTTGTCACAGTTGCTAAATGACTTCTCAAGTTTCCATACAGTACCATAATGTCTAACATTCTGAGTAATTTTGGAAACTAAATCCTCAACTGGATCAATTGGTCATGTTCCTGATTCTATTTTAAATTCACCCCCTCCCCCTCCCGTTTATCATCATTATGAGCTCAGCACTAAATGTGCCAAACCGCAATCTTATGTTTACATCACTCCAATATGGCTACTAAGCACTAGTGATTCATGTGGATAATATGCAACTACTTATATTTAATTGATTAATCAGTAGTATATAGCGTCGTGCAATTAAGTGTCTCATATTTTAACCAATCAAAATAATCCACATATATGATTGGTTGGATGGAGGGTTTCATCATGAGCTGACATCAATTACAGAACCACTGGAAAACCTGGGAGTACTGGACAGCTGTTTCGTCCTAGTTCGGAACTTTCAGCAGTACGCACCCACTGGGGTTCGATCCATCCATCCAATCAAAAAAAATCCCTACAAAACCAATACTTGAAAATTTATGATTGGCTTGTGAGTTGATAGTTGAAGAGTAGAATGGTCGCTAACCACTCACGTAGTCTGGCGTTCAAATCCCGCTCGATGCACATACAAGTTAGAGCTGAAGACGTTGCCTAGAAAAACAATGAAATCTTCATAATTAAACCTCCCAGGACAGAGAACACTACAACAATCAGGAACGCCTCCAAAAGAGATGCGAATCTTCTTCATTCTTCGAATAATTCATTATGGTGGTGTAAAACATGATTTAGAAATTTATATTAAATATAAATTCCGCCAAAACTGACATTCTAAATGCTTATTTTCAACGTAAGTTATTTAAACTAGTCATGATCAATAAAATTCATCAGTAATACTACCAAGGACTAGATGTAAGGCATTGGTTATTACTCTTAAGTATCTATTACAGTCTGTAAGCGCAATATCGCTTGAAATTAAGTCACGCGTAGATAAAGGCTATCCCGGTCCAGAACAAACAAGAAGCCGGTCACTGTTTCTACGGTACTATTAATAAACAAATCAATTAATATATATACAACAGACCTTAACGGTTTCAAGAGTACAATACACAATGCTTAACAGAAAGCAAGGAACCGCTATCAGAGCGGAATAACGTTAAAGCCAAAATTACGAACTAGCCGGCTCAGACACGACCGTTCAGGTAAGCAGTCAGTAGAAGAATGAACCCAAGTAAGAGATAGACAAAGCATAGGCACAAAGATAGAATTTAATTGGCTACTTAACCAATCAATAAGTAAGATAAACTCAACAGAATAGTACAAAGTAAGACATGGGGCAGCAAAATAACAGTTCACAAAAATACTCTGATTGGGTCATGAGTTCAACTGTCTGACTAAAAGGATCGAAGTAAAAACACACATACACAGTTAATTAAACAAGGTGGGATAGACACGTTGGGCATGGATAATTGTGTTGCAACAATGCTAGGCTGATCCGGGACAGGTTGACTTGATTTAAGGATGGAAATGGAATTCATCTTACACCGGCCCCCAAAATCCGACTAGGATTTTATGAATCATGGTACACCGTATAACCCTCGTGCCCAGCTCTCTTACTGTTTCCGGATATAAGCAACCGAAGCCCTCTACTGCCTTTCTCAACGCGAAGTTCACACAGAAGGGTGATGAAGTTGCCCCGAACGGATGCGCTGTTATCTGAAACTCCTGCGGCTCTTCGTCTAGAAAACCATTTTTCCACCACAGAAATAGTAATGCTCGTCGATCGTCTAGTGGCACTTTCACTTGCATAAACATATCAGCTATGTCCGCGACTACAGCAATAGGCTTTTCTCGAAAGCGCAACAGAACACCAACAAGCTCGGTAATCGTATCAGGTCTTTCATATAGCTTATCGTTCAAAGAATAGCCTCTAAAGGTTGCGGCGCAATCTAGAACTATTCTCAGTTTATCTGGCTTTTTCGGTTTCTTTACGGGATGATGTGGAAGATACCACCTCGGGCGATAGCTGACTGCTAGCTGCTCTAGGAGTACCGGAAGGGCATAACCATTTTTTAACATCGTATTTATACCATCCACATATCGTACTGAAAGGTTCTTGTCACGCGATAACCTCCATTTCAGACTGAGTAGCCGATTTATGGCAACCACATAATTATTGTCCGTTACCTTTGCTGGATCTTTCCATGGCAAGGAAATGATGTAATGCCCCTTTTCTAAGACGGTGCTTTGAGTAACCAACTCGATTGCCTTAGGATCTTCGATAGAAAATGAGTGTTCGTTTTCTTCAGTATCCCCAAACTCAGCTTCATATGGCCTTCTGATGTCGTCTTTGATACTCTCTTCGCTGATTCGAGCGTAGTTGACAGTGTCTCTTTTCGTATTTCCAATTTTCCGTTTGTCGTCCACGGCTAACTTCACAAGCAGCTCGGCCATTTCGACATCATGTCTAGCCTTTAGCAACTTTTCCTTTAACTCTAACTCCTGTCGAAGTTGTTTCTCTTTTAGCTGCTCCATTAGTAGCGACGACTTAGCACTAGTTACTCGCGATAATGATGGTTTCGAACTACTGACATGAGAGCCGGGGCACGAAAGGTTATCAACATGATCATTTATGCAAACGGGGACTCGCCGACTCTCCAACTGCTGCTCCAAAATTTGCTTCCCTGATCTGGTTTGCATCGTTCCAAAGAAAAATTTATTTTCAACAACGTTGCGTGCTGCCAATTCACCAAAGTTTCTTCTGGATGAACGTTGAGTACTGACCAGTTCAGTAAGGTCCTTTTCCGGCTTTGAGCGTTAAGTACTGACCAGTTCAGTACGGTCTCTTCCGTCAAGGGCTGATCCGGCAAACTTTAACTCTATACGTTAAGTACTGACCAGTTCAGTACGGTCTATTCCGTCAAGGCGTTCAGTACTGAGCAGTTCAGTACGGTCTCTTCCGTCAAGTGCTGATCCGGCAAACTTTAATTCTATACTTTAAGTACTGTAAGCGCAATATCGCTTGAAATTAAGTCACGCGTAGATAAAGGCTATCCCGGTCCAGAACAAACAAGAAGCCGGTCACTGTTTCTACGGTACTATTAATAAACAAATCAATTAATATATATACAACAGACCTTAACGGTTTCAAGAGTACAATACACAATGCTTAACAGAAAGCAAGGAACCGCTATCAGAGCGGAATAACGTTAAAGCCAAAATTACGAACTAGCCGGCTCAGACACGACCGTTCAGGTAAGCAGTCAGTAGAAGAATGAACCCAAGTAAGAGATAGACAAAGCATAGGCACAAAGATAGAATTTAATTGGCTACTTAACCAATCAATAAGTAAGATAAACTCAACAGAATAGTACAAAGTAAGACATGGGGCAGCAAAATAACAGTTCACAAAAATACTCTGATTGGGTCATGAGTTCAACTGTCTGACTAAAAGGATCGAAGTAAAAACACACATACACAGTTAATTAAACAAGGTGGGATAGACACGTTGGGCATGGATAATTGTGTTGCAACAATGCTAGGCTGATCCGGGACAGGTTGACTTGATTTAAGGATGGAAATGGAATTCATCTTACACAGTCTTTAAATGAAGTGGTAGGTGACACGGCTTTGAACCCACCCTACTCCCCGAAAAAGATATCACTTGTTTTGAGATTACAGGCACCACCTTGATGAGGAGGATGATGATGATAAGTGCCGACAACTACGCAACTTAGAAGCGAAATTTCCTGCCAATCGCTGGAAAATACACAATAACTAGTCACCTTTCTTGAAGGACATTGAACATTGATTTTAAACAGCCAGCATACTAATAATGTTATTTTGATTGGATACTAGGTTCGAATCTCAGAAGAGACATGAGTTCCTTCAAGGTTGCAGATACGCCTTGCTGACGAATGCCAACTAGCATGAAACCTAGGTCCAAGGCTTCCTGCCGATCACCTCCAACCATCTAATATACTAATAATGTTATTCAGTTGGAATAAATTCTTCGTTATTTGTTATACGATAGCTGTTAATATTACCTGTTCACCCAGGCTGAATTAAGCGAAATGCGATTCGAACTCTCCCGACCCATTGGCTGAAAGTTGAAAGCTTAGGTCAATCCACCTTATTTACATGCTGCTGTGGTGAGAGCTGGCTGCTAGCTGAAATTAGTAGACAGTAATTTACGTCAATGTTTACGTCCCCAATATTGGTCATGAGAAAAATAAGAACAAAGGCTGATTCAACAACCAGTCACAGCAGACTTTGCGTAGGCGGATACAATTTACAGATAGATAATCTGAACTTCAATAAAAGGCCACAAAGAGATGAAAGATTAACTTTCTGTCAGAAACAACCAATCAACAGACTGTATTTTCTACTAACAATAATCTATAATAATGTACATGAAAATCTATAAATATGTGTTGATTTTCCTTAATAAACGATCTGTTGTCTGGCCCTTGTCTTCTGTTGTTACAGTAATAATAATATCAAACAGCGATGAAAAGAGGACAAAAACTTACAACGGATTCACCACATGAATTTTCTTTATTATCATCCAGTATTTTTTCATCTTTTGATGAAGATGACGAGACACGATTGATTTTTTTAGAATTTTCAAATTTTTCAGACTTTTTATTTCCATGTTCATCATCATGTGAATTCGATTGAGATGAGATTGATTTTGACTTTGACAAGAATTTTGCACTGTCGTGACTATTGACTACTTTTATTAATGACTTATCATTGATTACGTCATCATTTATCTCGATGACTGTCATCACCATCGTCATGAGAGCAGATCGATTTCGAGTTGATTTTAGGCAGAAAAGATTTACTACTAACTGGATTATCAGTAGTAGTATTAAATGAATGTTTACTTGAAGTTGATAGTTTATTTTGCAGATCTTTGACTTTATGCTGATCAATATTATTGAGATCATAACCGTCATCGACAAAAGTCGTTGGACAGGTTGTTGTGTCCCTGTTGTGCTGCTTGTCGACATCGTTGACACGGCGCGGCGGTGGGGCTTGTGTTGACGACGATTGTAAGTGTGATAGCACAATATGCTTTGGTATTCGTTGACTATAAACATTTTGCAATTCTAACAGTTTAGATTTCTCCTATGGATTAGAAACAGATGGAGAGAAACAATTATTATGATTATTATGTTGCGCAATCTGCATATATGAGATTTATTAAGATAAAAGCACGGAATATACACATTTGATCATAGGGAATAAAAAGACAGTTGCAGCGAAGAAAATTTTACTTTCGACGAAGTCATCATCTAGGCTGTACATTCGTGTATTTATATCAAATGGATGGGAAAGTCCCAGAATAATTTCCGGTTAAGGGTCAAATTATTAAAAATTACAATTAGGAATTAGAATGCCATAATAAACAGGGGGATGGGTGAAACTCAAACAAAGTAGCATAATAACTAAGAAGATTGACATTGTGCAATTGGGGGTTAGAAATGTAAAAATAACAAAATAGACAGGATGTTTGAATAAAAAAACTAATGTGATGAATAACTGTTTATGCAATCAGGGATTAAATATGTAGAAATAGTAAAATGACAAAATAAACAGGAAGTGTGGATATGAAAATATAGTAGTGTAGACAGGGATTAAGAAAAACTTAAAATAACATGAATAAACACGAAGTTTAGATAAGAAAGGCGATGAGATTGTCATTACTAAAATTTTCTACCTGTTTATGATGGCCATGGCAAGGACAGGGGCTGGACGTATTTCTTTTGGATACAAAGAGTGGGTTTGAGTTTTTGGATAGCTAACGCCTCAGCTATGCCCAGATGTCTTGATTTCACTCCCTTTGATAGGTTTGATTGAATCTTGTATATTACTTTGAAAGATTTTTCGATTTCATCGAAAAGAAAATTTTCTTCGCTGCAACTGTCTTCTTATTCCCTAAGACAAAAGCTTAGTGCATGATGGACACCAAGAGATTTGCCACACAAAATAAGACAGTTTGTACGATGTCTGGGATGTTCACTGTCGAATGCTGAGAAAATATATCGGACTGATCAAGGAAATGTACTCAAACTCAGGCGGCCACCAAAATAACAGTCTACAGAGAGTTGTCCTCTGAAGTGATGATAATCAGTGGTGTCCGCCAGGGCTGACCATCACTGTCCCCATTTCTGCTTAATTTCCTTATAGATGTACTAATAGACTAAACCCTAGCTGACTCCAGTGACTCAGTGATTGACTTGTAACCACCATGGAATAATCTTGTTGACTTAGAATATTTGGATAATATAGTCCGACTTTGAAAAGGCCTTCGACAGCGTCGATCGAGAGGTGATTTGGAAACTACTTCGCTACTACGGGCTGCCGCCGACAATTATACATCTCATCCAACAGTTATATGACAATGCTGCATGCCAAGTAATCCACAACGGGAAACTTACGGAATCCTTCGAAGTGAGGACAGGAGTAAGACAAGCTGGCTGCCTACTATCGTCAATGATTTTCCTGACTGCAGTAGACTGGATAATGCGACAAACAGCGGGCAATGAGGAAAAAGGCATAAAATGGACTCACACAAAAAACTTGGAGGATCTGGACTTCGCCGATGATATATGTCTGATTTCCCACAAACTGGAAGATATGCAAGCGAAAAGCAACAAGTTGGCAGAAGAAGCATCCAGAGAAGATAGTACTTCAGGTGAACATAGAGAAAACAGAGATGATGAAGATTCCTGGGCAACACCACCAACAGCAACAACAACAGACAACAATCAGCATAAATGGAAGGAACCTGAAAGAAACAACCTCCTTTACCTACCCTATCTGGGAAGCATCGTTTCAACTACAGGCGGACGGAACTGACGAGGATATCAAAGCAAGAATCGGAAAAGCAAGACAAGCTTTCACTACTCTCAAGTCTGTGTGGAGATCAACAGCATTCAGCATCAAAAATAACATCCAGATTTTCAACTCCAATGTGAAGTCAGTCAGTGCTACTAAACGGATCAGAGACTTGGCCAGCGCGTCATAAAGAGCATCTCAAACAAACTACAGACCTTCATTAACAGCTACCTGTCTTCGCTCAGTACTCAAGATCAGATGGCCGGCCAGAAAAGATCAGCAACAGAGATCTGTGGGAGCGAACCAACCAGAAACCGATTGTGAAACAAATAGGCAGGAAGAAATGGAGATGGATTGGCTGGCCATACTCTGAGGAAACCATCAAGTGACATCACTAGACAAGCCATCGCGCGAGTGGAACCCGAAAGGGAAGCGGCGAGTTGGTCGTCAGTGCAAGGGTGACTTGGAGGAGGTCATGTGAAGAGGAGATGAAAACATGTGGGCAGACTTGGAGCCAGGTGAAAACTCTAGCAGATATCCGAACGCAATGGAGACGTTTGGCTGAAGCCCTATGTTCGTCTAGGAATTAAAGGAAACAATGATAATAATAAATAGTCTTTCTAGGTGAAAACGCTTACAAAATAGAGCATATTCTTCTGAACAATTTAAGTAGCAGGAATCTTAGAATGTTTGGCATGCGATGTGCTCCTGTTGAATTTAGGCTGATGCTACAGGACTGGACTGGAATACAGTGATTCCTAGCTTAAGGAGAGAGAGGGGAATGAAGTGGTAGAGCGTGTTGACGACTTCACTCATTTGGGTGGGAAGTTGCATCAACCCCAACAGATTGATCGCAGATGAAATTTCACACCGGATACAGAAGGCTCGTTTGGTATACATCATCTCTGGCTTACTAGATGTGATATCCAATTAGCTGGCTATCGATTAAAGGACGTGTGTACTGCACAGCAACAGTTCTCTCCGTCCTCTTCTGTCGCTGGCTGTGAGACATGACTATTAGAAGTGGAAGACATGTAAAGTCTAACTCTCTTTGATCATACGTGTCTGCCTTCTATCTCCTGTGTTAAGTGGTGGTATAATAGAGTGAACAATATTGAGGTTAGGCATCGGTCGGGTGCTAGATAAGAAGGGAAAATCTAGTTGTGAGTTGCTCGATTGAGAAAGATGATCAAGACATGCCTAGTCACCGATCCCCTACCGCGATGGAACATTTTAGCCGACTCACATTGCATCGACCAGATTGGAAAAGGGCTAGTAGCGGTGGTCAAGCCAAAACATGGTTTTATCAGCCAATGAAATCCATAACAGCTAGTTTAAGCCAGCCAGCCATGCAGATAGGTGTGTACTTCTTGACTGATTGGATAGGGTTCTCAGGATGGTAAGAACCAATGAAGACTGGAGACAGTTGGTGATATGGCTGAGGATCGTTCTCAGTGATGGCTGGCGCAGATGCACTCAGTCTTTGTGATCTGTCATATGTAATCGAAGTACTCTGTTGTTCTTATATGTTACTGTTCTTTTTTTCTCTACCACTTCTGTCTACTATCTGTCTTTTGGATCTCTCTTCGCACTCTTCTCTTGCTTTGCATGCTACATGGAGTGTGGCGACTCGGACTACTTCACATTATGCAGAGTTCTATGTGGAAACCAGTTAGTCAGTCATACTCATTTTCGGACACTCAGACAGAATCAGAAAGTTGTTTTAAGGCCCCTGGGATCCTTTGACTTGAAGTGTGACCTACAAGGCAATCGAGTAGCTAGGTTACCATGGTTTCCCGTGACTAAACAAGGTTCAAACACTATTCAATATTTTCGGTTTCTAGAGCCCATGTACACCACAGGTTTGGAATAGGGGTTTTCCAGCTCCTCTAGATAGTTCGGCTAGCATGCTTACCAATCAGGTTCTTATCATCAGACGTTCTCATTAGCTCTTTTACTTTTGCGAGGAACATCCGTGTAGCATGAAGGAAGTGAACAGAATCTAGTTGACAGAGGCTATGAACACGTGGCCACATAACAGCACTTTTAAGGGGAAGCCCGAAGTTTACTAGGGCATTTATAAATGGCATCGTATGTAATCTAATCATGTCTAAGGCAATACTTGATATTTAGTGAACTATATTCTCTACAGTTTATGCCTCGAAAAACATCCACAACTCATTGTTGACTGACTGACTGTGGAACGAACTCCCTACAGATATAATGAGATATCTAGGAGCCTATCAATTTACGTATAAGGGAAGACAATCGACGTTAGCGATAGATGTTGGTGGAGTTATATCTTTGATCGACAGTCATAAGAATTCATCGTCCGCCCTCGGATAGTGTCATGAACATCTCATAATCTGTAATTACTGATTTTGATTTCCGTTGAGAGTCATGGATATGCATCAGTTGGACAGAAGAATGCTCCTTGACTTACAATGGTCCTCTGATTGCCGGTGTGTGGTAAAATGTACACTATTATCAGAAACTGATCAATAAATTCCCACATCAATCATGAGAATACAGAATGATAATATTCATCGTACATTCTTACACGTTTAACTGAATCTCATGACTACACAATTAAGCTGTATACAATCTACTGGTGCATGGATCGATAAAATGATATTTAGTATTATATGCTGAAAACAAGGAGGTACTGGACAACTGTTTCTTCCTTATTAAGACTCTTCAGAATTGCTCATAAATGACCCAACCATAGACTGAACCCAGGACCTTAATGTAGCGAGGTGAGACAGTTACCGATTCGTCCATTGGGATAGAATACAACTGCTCTTGAAATATGACTTCCTTACTTCAGCAATTTACCTCCAACGGCTAGCCAATGTCATCTGAGAGTATTTCTCCTCATACCCAACTTGATGAACCCCCCTGGTCACGAATTTTAATTAGAACTCCAGGCAAATTCATCCCGTAGTCAGTCACTATCCATTCAAAGGTTTGACCTTGTATTCTGAAGGTCCTAGGTTCTATTTGTGGTGGGATCACGAGTGGGCACTGATGAAGAGTCCCAAGCTAAGGCGAAACAGATGTCCAATACTACCGTGTTTAATGGCTATCTAACTCATATAATCCGGTGATCTAATTTGCAACCAATTAAATCCCTTGAATGCATCACTTGAAAATATTATATCGTAGAAAAAAAACTTATTCTGATTACTTTAACAAATTGGTTTAATTATATGGTATATGCCATTGTGAAAGAAATGAATTAGAGAAATTTTAACTACTAGTTTTTATTTAAGTAGTATAAATTTTAAGAGAAAATAGAAATGTGAGATTCGACAGTGTATAAAACTGATAGGATCCCGCATAAAATAGTATATCACATCCTTTCTCACGAATCGTGTGCTTTATCTTGTGATGGAGTTACCATATTAATCTATCGTTTCTCATGCATATTGTGATTTAGTGTGTGGTGATCAATTCATCGTCTTTTGTTTCACCTTAGTTTTTTGTCGGATCGCCAACCAATCAGGAAAGACATTTCCAGCCAATAAGAACAATCCATTCTCACGGCTGTGAGCCGACTTTATTATGCTAAAGAAAATGTATAAATATCATGTGTTGTTTCCTAATAAATGTACAATACAGTATCTTAACAGTCAAAGGCCAGACTTTGTCTTTCGATATTTGCGTGGCTGAGTGAATCGGAAGGTACAGCGGACAAATAGGCATATATTAGCGTACTAGTCGAGTTCATTGGCGTTATAATAAGTAGCAGGCGCAAACATAACCAACTGGCGATGGGGTTTATTCAGTTCAGTGCACTTATAACAGAAACTAATTATACACAATAATTAAAAAAGCATTGTGGAAGCCAACTTTGTATTTCGCGATGATTGATTTACATGGGATAGACAAGCTCGTGTTCTCTGTATTAACATGTCGGCTTCTAGCACGGACACTTCAACGATGTCTGGAAATTAACACGGTCTTATTTAGTTGATGATTACCAGCGGTGGAATCCAGGAGGCACATATCGTCCGATTTCGGATGAGAAATGCAAAATAAGCTCAAAACAAAATAATAGTTGAAAATTCCTGCACAAGAAATAGTGTGGTGAGTGCTGCTTATAATCCGATATAAGCAGTATGTCAGAAAGCGAATTCAGAAAAGTAACAATATGTTTTGCACACTGGAAAGAGCAATCAAAGAAGAGAACTATGAGAAGAATGTTGCCATATAATGCAGAATCCAAGAATCTATCGAATACGACGATATTCACAATTCGTCAAGGATAGTAATGATGTGAATCTTAATATGGTATACCAAATTTACTGTGTACAATACGTTCACAGCCTCTGTCTTTTCTTCTTACAGTAGCTCTAATGGTCTTGATGGATATTGCTGGAGCTGGTTTCAAGTCTCACTAAGAACAATACCGCACACTCAATGGGAACGAAGGAACATCAAGTGGATGAATCCCAAATAGGACCGAAAGACAAGGCCGGATCATAGACTGTAGCAGACTAATGGATCTAGGAGCGTAAATACGAGTTAGCCAATACTGAAATAATCAAGTCGTCAGAATTCTTCTATTGTAACCGATATGTTAGAACGTTAGAGAGCGAACAATTAGGTAGAAGCAAATTTACACGCCTACGAACTGTTAAACAAATTGGAAGGTTTAAAAATGAGTTTTAGCTGAGTGACTGAAAATCTGATATAGGATCAACGAGAGATAAACTACACAACCTGTATAGACAGGATAAGTCGTGCATTCTACATTTGTAAGGAAAAAGGTTTTAAAGTGTAATCACCAAGTTTCTTATCACCACAGTACATTCATCCGTGGTTAGTTGACGTTTTTGGTAATTGGTTTACACAGAGAACGGGGATTACTACTTCGTTTCATCGAAGTGACAGTAATCAAGCGACTACAATCTAGTCTTTGTGTACATAGAATGATGGTGTAATTAACTCCAAAATACCCTGGTTATTGGATTCTGTTTTTAATATGTCGGATTCTTAAGCCTTAACGATTTGTTAATGTGTTGATGTACATGATAATTTACTTGTCACTGCCGAATCTATTTCCCCACCCAAACCTTATCATCCATTTTTACCCCCCCCTTGTCTTAATGACTTTTGAAACTCTTATCATATTATGTATAAATAAACTCTGATTATTTGAATATTTCAATATTGTTATTATTATTGGTCCCTTGATTTCTCAGTGGAACATAGGGCTTCAGCAACATGTCTCCACTTTGTTCTATCTTCTGCTATCCTCTTCATCTGGGTCCACGATTGACTAAACTCTATCATCTCTTCCTCACACGATCTCCTCCATGTCACCCTAGGACGACCGACTCGTCGCTTCCCATTTGGATTTCACTCAAGGGCCTGGAGCGGGATGTCATTCGACGACCTCCTCAATGTATGCCCGATCAATTTCAATTTTCTTCTACAAGTCTGTTGAGCAATCAGCTCTTGGTTTGTTTTGTTCCCAGAGTTTTTTGCTACTAATTCTTTCTAGCCATTCGATCTTCAGTATGGAGCCAGTGAAGGCAGCTGTTGATGAAAGTCTGCAACCTGTTGGAAATCCATTTCGTGACACGCTGGCCAAGTTTCTGACCCGTATAGAACGATCGACTTGACGCGATTTCAATATTAAATATCTTGTACTTACTGTCCTAGATCTATACGATGTTGTTGTCTTTCTGTGTTGAAATATGATACATAATTTCACTTATTTATGATTTTCAACTGTAAATAGTTGCAGAAAATCTGTGTGAAACAAAATCCTCACTCATATTAGTTTGTTTATTAGATATATCACACAGTGAAACAGTATCATTTACCGCATGACGTTTCAAACAAAATTTTTTGTCCATAATCATATCAATTGTAATCACACGACTTTAAAACTTGAGTTTTATGGTTTTCTTTGTTTTCTCCTATTTGTCGTGGGGATAGTAGAATCTTCCAGATATCGGGGACAGGTGATGAATCATTCCTATTACATGTATTTGCAGTTGATTCGATAAATAAAGTTTCCATTGTCAATCTCTCCCTATACCCTGTGACAAGGAAGGAACCTCGGAAGCCTTACGCAGAATTCTTAACAAGGCAAGAATAAAAATGGCATTCAAATCCACAAACTCAATTAGAAACAAGCTTTGTCGGTTAAAGGATCCTGTAGAGCCTTTAAAACAAAACAATTTAGTTTATCTAATACCCTGCTTGAATGATTGTCAGGTCAAATACATAGGTCAAACTAGTAGAACAGGGTCAGTCAAACTAGCTGAACATAAAACTTAGCAAAATCTAGATTGGTTCATCCAAATAAGATAAGAAATCTAGAGAATAGTTCAGCTATAGCACTACATGCAGTCACACACAACCACACAATAGGATGGGATAGGATGACAGTTTTAAAATCTAATGTCACAGGGTGAATGGAGGGAGAGATTGATAACAGAAGCTTTGTTCATCAAATCAACTGCAAACCGACACGTGTAGTAGGAATGATTCAACACCTGTCCACCCAGATATCTGCAAAATTCTACTACCCCAACAACAAATAGGAGAGAACAAAGAAAACTATAAAACTCAAGTTTCGAAGTCGTGTGATTACAATTGATATGATTATGAACAAAAAATTTTGTTCGAAACGTCATCCAGTAAATAATACTATTTCACTGTGTGATATATCTAATAAACAAACTAATATGGAATTACTTACTACCACAGTGCCCAAGTTTTACACATATATTATTTTCAATTCATAAGTGAATTGAATTGCTTCAACCTTCGAGTTGATGTGTTCGAAACCACTCGTTGATTGATCACTTTTGGGGTAATTAATCTTATGTGTTCAGTCCATTGGCATTCCAAGAGAAAAATCTGGCTTCCAGCTTTTTGAAGTTTCAGTAGCAGCGGTGTTCTGTTTGTTCACTGAATGGGTTGGCTAGCCGTACACTCAACTTGCCCTCTTCTCCGGGATTCCTCTCATCCTGGAATCAAACCCTAGCCCATGTGGCATTGACACGTAGTTAGTCCTCAGTGATGACTGAATTCAACCAGTCAAGTTCACAATGCTGTAACCAAGTCCAATGATTCGCCATCATCATGTACTTTGAAGTGATTTTCTATGGTTGGAGACAGCTGACAAGAAGCCTTAAAGTCATGATTTCGCTAGAATGGTGTATCTGCAACCTCGAAGGAATTAGCTTGCCCCCAGTGTCACCCAGTACTGTGATCAGAGACAGTCTGTCTGTCTGTCTGGATTCAACATAGAACTTGGCACCGAAGTGCAACAGTTCCAGTTGCCACGTTCCAAATAGCACACGAAGGTAGACAAGAAGATGAGTGAAGAGAATCAATAGAGTTTTGACAAGTATAAGAGTGAAACAGAATGAGTAATGGTAGAAAGGAATATGAAAGATTACACAAGAGACTGAATACATCTGCGTAAGCCATTGACAACGATTTTGAGCCATGTCACCTATTGTCTCCAGCCATTGATTCTTAGAGTCCCGAGGGCGGGCCCCAACCCGGAAGTCTGCATCTCCCTCCATACCTGACTCAGTTTAACTGTCAGGGATTTCATGGATTGATGAGGCCATGTTTTTGTTTGGCCACCACTTACTCTTTTCCAACCTGCACCTATATCAGCTAGTAATGCCCGTCGGGGGAGGCGATGGTTAGGCATGCGCAGCACGTCACCTAGCCATCTCAATCTATGTAACTTTATAGCCTCTTCGATTGATTTTCCCTCTTTGCCCAACACTCTACGCCTAACGTCAACATTACTTACCTTATTATACCACCTAACGTGAGAAAGAGATCGTAGACATCTATGATCAAAAGCAGTCAACCTTTTCATGTCTTCAACTCGATAGGAGACAGTACCGCTTAACTAATCAAGCTCACAATAAGACTCGAGCTCGGTAACGTCTCTGAATGCAGCACTGGATGAGACGGGTTCTAAATCCCTGGGAGAGAGACTAATTCAATCTAGATGGCACATATAACTTGTTGATGAATGTCTCATAAGCAGGAAACTTGAGTGCAAAGCCTATCCGTCAGTGTCCTTCTCATTCAGTATTAAACGAATAAAATAAATCAAATGTATAAATAAAAACCCATCTAACTTGTAGCTGTAGTGATTTCTCTTGTAAACTTTTCTCTAGAATTTGATATTTTTCCCGTAAACATCGAAGTTTTTCATTTGTTGAATTAATTTGTTGCTTAAAATTTTTGGTCAACACATAAATTTCATGTTTTAATTTCTAAATTATACAGAAAAAAAAGAATAAAGAAAGCAGATTTAATTAAATGAATAGTGTCTGATGATGAATACATAATCGAGTAGGTTAATAGCTGACCTGAGAAATGAGGCTCATTGTAGCGGCATAGTTCATTCTTGTGTTGACGTAATGACATAAATTATTTACATATATAGTTCAAGTTTCATCAAGGATTAATATCAGTTAGAGAACCATTGAAAACCAGGGAACACTGAACAGCAATTTCGTCCTAGTTTGGAACTCATCGGTAGCATGCAGTCTCAGGATTTCAAATCCAACACCTTCCGTTTACAAGGCAAGCTCGCGCTAAAATCATGAATTGGTAGAAGTTAGACCTCATCGGCTTGCCGTTGTGGAGTCAGGTTGAGGTGGCTGAATGGTCTACGAATTTGTCTCACAACCAGAATGTCCTGGGTTCGAACCCCGCTGATATCAATCCGTGGTGAAACTTGAAAAAAAATTAAATCCCCACAAAAACTCTTGAAAAAATAAAAATTTATGCCACAATCAGCTTAAAGAACAAAATTAGGATTTTCAACATAAGTATTAAGTCATTCAATTCTTTCATTTGGGTCAGAAACCTGATGAGAGTGTCACGAAAAACATTTCCAACAGGCTGATGCAGACTTTCATCAACAACTGCCTTCTGTGGCTTCATATTAAAGCTCAAATGGCCGACCAGAAAGAATTAACAAACCAACAGGAGAGCACCTGGTGCTCAAGATGTACTCCAAAGAAAATGGAGATGGGCTGGATACACATTGAGGAGACCATCGAATGACATTGCGCGCAAGGCCATCGCTGATTTGGGACCCAAATGGGAAATGCAGAGTTGGGCATGGATCCAAGAGTGACATGGTGGAGGTCATGTGGCGAGAAGGAGATGAGAGCTGATGATGGGCAATCGTGGGGTTAGTTGAAGAGGAGCTCAGAAAATAGGACAAAGTTGAGATCTGATGCTGAAGCCCTATCTTCCATTCGAAACCCAAAGGAATAATAATGTAGTCATAAATTATGAATCCGTAGAAATGTTTTTACGAGGTATTTGTTGGCGTGGTTTCAGAGTTCGCAGCAGTCTGTAGCAGCAAATGTTACTTTATAGTCACATCTACGCAGTAAATCTCAGTAATGCGCCCAGTCCTTGAGTTGGTATAGATTGAATGCTGTCAATTACGTTTGCGATGTGGTCACGATGCTAGGTGAATCTCCATCGCTATGAACACACTGAATGGATCCTATATGGTTGAAGATGCCTAGAATATTGACCACATTTCAAACCTGAATGAGAGGTTCACATTACCCTAGGCTAGTCTTGACATAACAGCGGTCAACCAGTTGAGGTTAGGAACCAAACTGCTCAACTGGATATCATTCTACTACAGTCATCATAGGTAGTGTCGAGCCGTCAAGTGAACGAACCACATATTACTGTAGGTGGAACATCACCACATTCGTTAGCTTCCCAGCCAGATATTCTTCAGTCAATTTCAAACATACTAAGAGAACAATGGGTTACTAATTGTTGACGACGAGCTGTCTGAGTTAGCCTTGGAGTGACAGATCACTATTTTTTTACAGAAACACAAACTTGGTACCAGAAGGGTACTAAGAGATGCATCGGAAAAAATGGAAAAACCCACAATAAATAAAGAAAATAAGGATAGAATGAGTGAGGGACGTCATACAGAAAACAAGCAAACATCCTTGTCAAGATCATTCAACATTCACCATTTCATGTTACATTCAAAGAAGGAAGAAAGAAGGAAATCACTGCGAGTTAGGCATTGATTACGACTCTTGGCGACATCTGTTAGCGTCTCAAACCACTGATTCGAATTATCTTTCTGACCCCACACAGGGAGTCATGATTAACCAACTGATGCATACCTATACGATTAGAGGTTTCGTTCTTAACACCTCCTCCAGCACTCACAAAACTATCTAGATACACGAACTTTTCGATATTTTCAAGCGGTTCACCTGCAGAAGTGAGTGGAGGTGCAGGCTTCTGCTAATCATGCAATACTATTTACGACTTGAACGGCACAAAGCATATACCATACTTACAGACACTGACAGCTAACTGATTAAGTACTATTTTGGCTGCCTGCACGCTGTTGCACAGTAAGACGATATCATCTGCACACACTCATGATCGGAAAGTCTCCAGAAAGTTGATCTATACCATTACCACCATCCCAAACACCCCTTCACACTTGAATCTAGAATGTTATTGATGGAGAAGTTAAAGAGAAATAGAGAAACTGGGAAACCCTGTTTAACCTCAGTGTTAGTTGGGAACAGTAGTGATAACTGACTGTTTGCCTTCAATTTACCTGAGCTGTTTCTATATACGACTTTCAGGATGTCAAGAAACTTCTCAAGGATACCTTTCTCTAACAGATAGTTCCAGAGAGTATTCCTGTCCAAAGAAGTGAAGGCAACCTTAATACCAAGACTGTTGGCCTGTAATACATGTGTCGGTGTTCTCGCGACTGACAAAGAGTAAGCATATGATCAGTGAATCTAGAACCAGCTCCTCACGTATTTTCCACAGCCTGTGAAGTAAGACAGTAGCCAATATTTCAGATGCGATCGGTAGTAAACTAATGGCCCTAAGATTGTCATACGTATAATGCAGGCTCATTCTGAGGGTGTGCATGCTGACAGCTTCATTGTACATTGACGTAACATCCTCAACTTCCCAGACTTTCCTGTAGAGTTTAGTCGGTGCCCTGAGAAGAATCTCATCTCTTTAAAAAAACCAGTGATGAACAGTCTGCGTCCGATGACTTAAGGCGTTTAAGCGCTTGAAGTTCCCCTCTGATCCCCGCTTCTTTTGGTTGGTCGGCATTGTTGAACTATGGAGCAGCATGATTAGTGATGCTGGCGCTGTTGGCCAACTAAACTGCCCTTCAAATAATAATGCTGAGCATCCCAGGGGTCTTTCCAACCTGGTTGTCAGAGTATGATTTGCTTCACATACTGCCTTTCCGACACATATTTCTTGATCTGGTGGCTCGGATGAGCTGAAACAGTCTCCGACTATTATCAGGTGCAGCTGCTGATTCCATCTCGCATGCACGTTCTAACCGCTAAGCCTTGCTGTCTTTATCTAAGCACTAATCTTGCGGGCAAAAATCTCGCACATGTTGTTACACTTTCTGTCTGCTGGACGGAACCAACGTGCATCCAGAAGCAGATCACCATCGATATGATGAGTAAAGTGATGATTATAATAATAATAATAATTTGCTTTATTCCAAAACAGTACTTGTGATACAGAATGGAATTCTCAGCATTTTTACTACAGTATTGCATACAGTTAGTACATTATCAATAAATAGAATTCTACATAGATTATGGGTAGTCTCAGTTCATTATGACAACAACATATTGGCATGCCGGTAGCAAAGCCAAAGCTGAACAGTGTTTGAAGGTGTTAGAAAAGTAGGTGCTATCATATTTACTGGCGTAAGAGAGAGAAAGAAACAAAGCAGCACAAAACGGAAAAAAAAGAGAGAGAATAGGAAAAGAAAGAAAGAAAATGTTGTACCTATAAATGATATGAGTTGGAAAGACGAGGTCCAGTTGTACTACTGACTATTTAATGAATTATAGGTGTCACGCCTGATGCTTTCTTTATCGCACAGAACACGAGCTAAGTAGGGCACGGTTGAGTTTTTGTACTTGCTGGTGCGAGCATATAGTTTTCTATATAGGCTTCTGGTTTTGCCTGATGAGATGCAAGGGGAGAGTTGTGAGTGAAGAAGGTGGTGTGAGTTAGACATAATATCTACATATTGCATCCATATAGGTGAAGTCGAAAATGTCCATACATTATTCTTAACCATTTTACTATTTACAACGTTTTAACTTTATTTATTAATATTATTCCTTTCGGTTTCCAGTGGAATATAACGCTTCAGGCTTTCAGCCTTTAAAGTCTCACTAGCAGTCATGTTCTTTTTCATGCGTTAGGGTTGCTAGCCATACGCCCAACCTCCCCTCTTTATTGGGCTTACTACTGGCTGAGCGAGGTTTGGGGGTGCGTCAGCCGGGGGATCGAACTTCGCAACACTTGTGTAGTTGGCAAGTGTCCTATCAGTGAATCACTGACGTGACTTTACAAGAGAATATAGAAATGATTTCATACAAGACAGATTCCTACACTGTAAGGTCTTATATCGGAAGCCTATCCTACTTCAGTAATTCATGAATAATCCCCATCCAGACATTAATGAAAACAAAACACGTAGTTCAGGGAACAGTCTCTTTTCGCCGAAGAATTCATTCACTTACAATCGCAAGTATATATACTTATTTTGGTATGCGTGTGTACATTAGGTTTATCCAATAAGAATGAAAATTAGTTCAGCTTATTGTTGTCAAGACATTTCAGAAATGTGATAAACAATCAAACTGTGACTAGAGTGGTGGGGGTGAAGATTGGTAAGAAGGTAGTGGAGATGTATTGTCAGAAAATATACTTATTAACACATAAAAGAAGTTGAACAAACATAATACAGTTACGCAATAAGATGAATAGTTTAATGAGTGATTTGTGATTCGATTCACATAGTAAAAAAGGAAAATATGGAATTATTTAAGAGTTCTAAAATTTACAAATGTTACAAGGAGTTTGAAAAAGAAACAAGCACACAAACATCAAGTCAGTAGAAGTCAACACGGTCGTTACCATGACAGTAGAGGTGGTTAGATGATTTTCTTTTGTATACACAACTCTGGCTTCTCCAACTGAATGAATGGCTAAGGCTTCAGTAATACAAAGTAGACGAAAGCGTATTGCCTTTGGTAGGTTGTTCTTCACTTTCTAGATCACTTTGAAGCAGGAGGCGTTTGTTGAGATGGAATGACCAGTGGTGACGAGATCTTCAATTATCGTACTGCTTATATAGCCACTATTATCTTTTTGCAGCCATGCGGAATATTGTTCTTGAATCCTTTTCCACAGGATACACGCCGAACAGCCATAACAACAGGTTAACTGATATATGCACGCCTATGCAACTTCTTTTAGGTGTCAATAAATGTTTTTTCGGCAACACATCGCCAAGCTAGTGGCTTGAAGTTTCTGTAGCAGTGTTTATTTCTACAGGATGGGGTTGCTATCCCCATGCCTAACCTTTCCTCTTTACCAGCATTATTTCTGGTTTAGCGAGGTAAAGGAGTGCGTCGGCCGGGGACCGAACCCCGGACCATGTGCATGGTTGGCAAGAGTCCTAACCACTGCGCCACCGACGCACATCACCACTAGCCTGTTACTAATCTTCACCCCACTCCACCCCTAGTTACAGTTTGATTATTCATTACATTTATCATCACATGTCTTGACAACAATAACCCTAACTTATTTTTATTTTTATCGGACAAACCTAATGTACACACACACATACAAAAATAATTAAATGTTCAATTGCGATTGTACAGCTCAGCTAAGTGAATGAATTCGCCGGCGAAAAGAGACTGTTCGCTGAACTACACGTGTTTTGTTTTCATTAATTAACTTCAGTAGCTGTTAAGAGAATGTTAGAGAAATAAAAAATGAGAAACAATCACAGGCAAAAAAATCTACCATTTTAAGATTTTTCAAGTATTGATTTTTTGTAGGGATTTTGTTTGATTGTTTGGAGGATTTCATCATGAGCTGACATCAGTTAGGGAACCATTGAAAAACTAGCTGGGAGTACTGAATAGCTGTTTCGTCCTGGTTTCGGACTCTTCACAGTACGCACCCACACCACAGAGTGAGAACCCAGGACTTTCTGGTTACAGTGTGGCGAGGTAGCTCGTAGACCATTAAGCCACTGGGACCCGATCCAATGGCCAGTCCATGAATTCTGACTTCTGCCAATTCACGACCACTTCGCAATTTCTTCTTCGATGAGTTACTGCCTCACCTTCAACCTGCTGCACCCTACTGGTCACGGCTTCCCACTAGAATCCCGGGTCATTGCCTGAATAGGGTCAGTCGCTAGTGAGCATCAGATCAGTTTTTCAAGTATTGGTTTTTGTAAGGATTTTGTTTGATTGGATGAAGGATTTCATGGGAAGAGTCCCAAACTAGGACGAAACAGTTGTCCAGTACTCCCAGCCGGTTTTCCAATGGTTTTCTAACTGATGTCAGCTCATCATGAAATCCTCCAACCATTTTAAGATTATTATTATTTAAACAAAGCAACAAAGAAAAAAAAAAGAGAGAAGATGATTTACTGAATTCTTTTTCTTTTCTTCGTCTAATTCACTTGTTGTATTTTCTGATTTATTAGACTTTTTACGTGATTGTAATGAACCATTATCGAACGACGACTGATTTTGTTTATCATCACATGTAGATTTCTCCAGTAGATAAACACGATGTAACAATTCACTAATTTTTCTTTGATCTGCACTTGATTGTAGCGTTTTTTCACGTAACCGTAACTGTAATGTACGTACTTCTGAGTTCAAACGATCAATAATCTGTGGCATATCAGCTTCTTGTCCAATTGCCTAATAATTAAAAGGAAATATTATAAGAAGAAGAAAATTAAAATAAAAGATAATATGAGTAGCTTTCAAGTATTGGTTTGTCAGATAAAAGACCATTTAATATCAGGGAGTACTGGACAGTTGTTACGTCCTTGTTTGGGACTCTTCAGAGTCGGCCAAATTGGATTTAAGGACAGATACTCATCGATGACGTTACCTGGGGATCCTGCTGTGTATGGTCTACAAGTTCGCCTTGTAACCTGATGGTGCTAGGTCATACCCCGAATGGTTTCATGGATGCGTATTGCCGAGGAGTCTGAAACCAGGACGAAACCACTGTCCATTACTCCTTGGTTTTCAATGGGAGTTCATGATTACATAGCACGTTAATCCCATGACAAACTTTCCAACCTAGGATGGGATTTGATATTTGGTTACGGACGTTTCATCATCAGTCTTGATAACGTTTTCAGTGATAACTATATTAAAAAGTAAGATGCAATTGCAGACCACATAAATATTTAGCTGTCTGACTGTCTTCTTCTTGTTCGGTTGCAAATGAAATAAGTAGACATGACTCCACAGCGGACCTTATACGCCGAATGAAGCCGTTTCTAGGTGAGTCTAAGTGGTTTAATTTGATGCCAAAAACTAATAACCCCAGTAGGATGTATGGTGTTGTTAAAGTTCATAAGTCAGGATACCCCATTAGGCCTATAGTTGATTTTAGAAATTCACCTACATATGAATCATCTAAATATTTAGCCATGGTATTAAATCCCCTTAAAAGATGCTCAAAATCTAGACTAACAAATTCTTATGAACTGAAACATAGATTAGATAATTTAAAATTAGATAATGAAGAGAAAATGGTTAGTTTTGACATTGTCAGTTTATACACACGTATACCAATTTAATATGGCTATGGAGGCAGTCAGAAACGGACTCATTTCTGACCAAGAACTCGAACTTAGGACAAAAGCGCCACTTGAGGACATAATGCTGGGAGTACAGCTATGCCTGACTTCCACAGTATTTCAATTTCAAGGGAAAATATACAAACAAACTGAAGGAGTTGCCATGGGATCACCAATATCCCCAGTTGTAGCAGATATATTCATGGATAAGTGGGAGAACATAGCGATTGAAACGTTCATCCCCAACCCAAAAGTATGGTGGAGGTATGTCGATGACACATTCACTGTACTTAGAACACAAGATATAGATAGGTTTTTCGAACACATCAACTCGAAGGTGGAAGCAATTCAATTCACTTATGAATTGGAAAATCAGGAAGGGGAGCTCCCAATGTTAGATTGCAACGTAAAGAGGAAAGAAGATGGGAAGTTAAACACTAGTGTTTACAGGAAACCCACACACTCAAACAGATATTTGGACTTCCAATCGTCCCATCCTATGTCAGTAAAAATAGGATTGGTGAAGTGTCTAAATGACAGAGCACAAAAACTAAGTAGTACCAAAGAAAATCTAAAACAGGAACTGATACATATAAAAGAAGCTTTGAAACTTAGTAATTACCCGGATAAATTAATCAAGAAATATGTAAGGAAATGTAAAAATAAAATAAATAATGATAATAGTGATAGTGATAATAATAATAATAATGTTAATAATAGTAGTGATAATAATAATATTAATATTAATGACGACACCAATAATAAGAAATCTAAATCATCAGTAGTAATTCCATACAAGGAAGGAACCTCGGAAGCCTTACGCAGAATTCTTAACAAGGCAGGAACAAAAATGGCATTCAAACCCACAAACTCAATTAGAAACAAGCTTTGTCGGTTAAAGGATCCTGTAGAGCCCTTAAAACAAAACAATTTAGTTTATCTCATACCCTGTAATGATTGTCAGGTCAAATACATAGGTCAAACTAGTAGAACAGGGGCTGAACACAAAAACCTAGCAAAATCTAGATTGGTTGACCCGAATAAGATAAGAAATCTAGAGAATAGTTCAGCTATAGCACTACATGCAGTTACACACAACCACACAATAGGATGGGATAGGATGAGAGTTTTAAAATCTAATGTCACAGGGTATAGGGAGAGATTGATAACAGAAGCTTTGTTTATCGAATCAACTACAAATACATGTAATAGGAATGATTCATCACCTGTCCCCGATATCTGGAAAATTCTACTACCCCTACGACAAATAGGAGAAAACAAAGAAAACTATAAAACTCAAGTGTCAAAGTCGTGTGATCACAATTGATATGATTATGAACAGCAATAAATTTTGTTCGAAACGTCATCCAGTAAATAATACTGTTTCACTGTGTGATATACCTAATAAACAAACTAATATGGAACCACGGACATCAATTCGACTGCGACAAGTTCAAATATTAGACAGAAGAAATAGCAAAAACGCCAGAGAATTTTTAGAAGCCTAGTGTTTCAGTGAATCATCAATTAACAGGCACATAGAAATAGATAAAATTTACCAATCCATAAGCAGAAAATCTCATGCACACAAAGTGAAACTTCAGGTCATAGCAACAGTCAATACGAATACAGGTAGACTAAAGGGTATGAAGATAGGCAGACAAAGGCAACCAACCAACCACGTTCAAGGTTACCCACAAGGAGAGAGGACTAATAAACTCGTGGAAAAACCTTAAATCTCACTCAAAATTGAAGCATGCCCTGAAGATGTTGCCTAGCAGGGCAATGAAAGCTTCGCCAGTAAACACCATCCAGCTCAGAGAGTACAACTACATCGAAAAGCAGCATGGTCTTACTAGTGCTATTTACAACACTTCCCTATATTTCTGCGATTAGGGTAGACTAAAAAACTGGGCATAGCTTTCCGTAATCCCCGAACTTAATGTCATTTGATAAAAATTTTCATTTTGATCACTACAACAACTCACTTTATCTAATCGTACAGCTTGCATTTTATACTGTCTCTGAACTGTTTTCAATTCCAGCTTGCAGTCTTTTAATTCTTTATTCAATTGTACAATTGTACTATTTGCTTCAGCCAAAGCCAGTTGATTCGATTCCCACATTTCCAGTAGACCAGATGATGCGGTGATATGACTACTACTGCCACAACTAACATTTGGATATAACTTCTTAGTTAATATTTGATTTGGTTTTGTTTGTACAGTTGGATGATGTGGTTTAGATTTTGATCTGTGAGAAGCATTTCTTCGGATTGGGAAAGGATTATCTATTCATGCGATGGGAGGTAGAAAGAAGGATAGAAACATTAACTTCAAAATTTCCTATTTATATACTTAATAAAAGAAAAAAACAAATTGAGTAGCCAAGAAATAGATCCCTTTTCAATTAGTACCTCATCAACAGTTGTGAATTTAACATAAACTGTAGTCCCACAGCAAAGTGATACCAATCATTTGGTTATTCGTCAGTCAATAAGGATTATCCGTTCTGAAGTTTACTTCAAATATCACATAGTAATGATGCAGTATTATTATGACTGGATGAACAAAATGCAGAGTCTTCTGAACACCTTGAGCAGCAATCTTCGTATGTTTGGCATGCGATTCGCCCCTGTAAAATGTAAGATGCTGCTACAGGACTGACTGGACTACGTCAACTCCTAGCTTAGTGATAGGAAGTGAAGTGATAGAACAAGTTGACCACTTCACCTATTTGAGAAGTTGTATCAGCACCAACGGATTGATTGGTGACGAAATCTCAGCACAGATCCAAAAAGCTCAAGCTGCTTTCGCTAACTTACACCATCTCTGGCGTAGGCGTGACATCCGGCTATCAACAAAGGGACGTGTGTACTGCTCAGCAGTTCACTCCGTCCTTTTCTATGGCTCTGAAACATGGCCAATACGAGTTGAAGACATGAAAAGGTTGTCTGTTTTTGATCATAGATGTCTACGATCTCTTTCTCGTACGTCGGTAGCTTAGTGGTTAGGACTCTCACCGACCATGCACATGGTCCAGGGTTCGATCCCCTGCTGACGCACACCCGATATCTACAGTCGGCCTGCGAAATTTGACGTTAGACCTAGAGTGTTGGGCGAAGAGCGAAAATCAATCGAAGAGGCTATAAAGTTACATAGATTGAGATGGCTAGGTCACGTGCTGCGCATGCCCAACCATCGCCTCCCCCGACGGACGGGCATTACTAGCTGATATAGGTGCAGGTTGAAAAAGAGTAAGTGGTGGCCAAACAAAAACATGGCCTCATCAATCCATGAAATCCTTGACAGTTAAACTGAGTCAGGTAGGGAAGGAGATGCATTCTTCCGGGTAGGGACCCGCCCTCTGGACTCTAAGAATCAATGAAGGCTGGAGACAATAGGTGACATGGCTCAAAATCGTTGTCAATGGCTTACGCAGATGTATTCAGTCTCTGTAATCTTTCATATTATTTTCTACCATTACTCATTCTGTTTCACTCTTATACTTGTCAAAACTCTACTGATTCTCTTCACTCATTTTCTTGTCTACCTTTGTGTGCTATTTAGAACGTGGCAACTCGAACTGCTGCACTTCGGTGCCAAGTTCTATGTTAAATCCAGACAGACAGACAGACATAACTGGATGACAAGGTTTCAAACACAAATTATTGCTGCTCATAATCATATCAGTTAGTAGGCACACGGTTTCACAATTTGTCTTATACACATTCCTCTCTCTTTGTTTTTCTCTCCAACTTCCCCCTGTTGTTTTTTGCCACTTTCCATATCTCAGGTATTGGCGTTGTATAATGCCGATTGCACCTGTACGTTGTTGGATAGATAAACAGAAATTCTGTGGTTAACCACATTTTCCCTCCACCTAACTATATTATTCACTAATACTCTCACCTTGTCCCACCCTATTTTGTATGGCTACATCTACGTGAATACAATACAATGGCTAAGCTTTTCCCTGCGTTACTTAACTTGGGTCATTTATTCTATGTCTCGTTAAATTTCCATGTTTCAATAATCTAATTGACCGCGATCCACTAGTTTGACCTATCATGTTATTCATCCCACAAACAGTCATTAGTAAATTACATTATTTCTCTTAATTGTATCTAGGGGGCGGGTCCTTAAGCCAACGAAGTTTATCTCTGAGAGAGTTGGTTGGTTTAAATCCCACTCCAATTCCAGTCTGTTTGAGAATCTTATATGAGGCCTCTGATGTTCTTTCTTTATATGGCAGTACTACAGAGTCTTTGGATCCCACGTTACTCATGTTATTTTTGTCATTTCCAGAATTGATCATGGGCTGACATCAGTTAGGGAACCATTAGAAAACCTGGGGGTACTGGAAAACTTTTGTGTCCTTGTCTAGGACTCTTCAACAGTACGCGCCTAGCGGGGTTCGAACCCAGGACCTCCAGGTTCTGAAGTGAGAGTTATCATGGAATCGAAGATCAACTGATTTGGAGAGGTTAGCAACAAGTTATTACTTAATTAAATACTTCCAACATAATAATGACCAGTCGGAATTACGTAAGAAAACCCAGATACCAATACATTGGTCAAATTAGCTAAAATAGTTGTTATTATTGTTCCCATGGGTTCCCAGTAGGATACAGGGTTTCAACAGCATGTCTCCACTTTGTATTATTCCCTGAAGTCCTCTTTATCTGGCTCCCCAATTACCCATAGTCTCTCGTCTTCTCCTCGCCAGACGATCTCCACCATGTCACACTCGAATGCCTAACTCATTGTTTCTCACTCAGCTTCCACTTGAGCGATAGTCTTAGGCGCAATGTCATTTGATGGTCCCCTCAGCGTGTACCTAATCCATCTCCATTTTCTTCCACACATTTGTTTAGCAATAGGTTCCTGGTTGGTTTGTTCCCAGAGTCTCTTGTTTCTAATTCTTTGTCGCCAGCCGTCTGATCTTCAGTATGGAACCAGCTCCCGACCGAAGTGAAGTGGCATAATAAGGTGAGCAATACTGAGGTTAGACGTCGAGTGCTAGGTAAGGAGGGGAAATCAATCGACGAGGCTGTGAAATTACATCGACTGAGATGGTTAGGACATGTGTTACGTATGCATAGTCATCGCCTTCCTCGACAATGGGCAATGTTAGCTGAAATAGGGTCAGGCTGGAAAAGAGCTAGCGGCGGTCAAACCAAAACATGGTTTCACCAGTCAATGAAATCCACAACAGTTAGTTTAAGCCAGCCACGTAGGAAGGTGTAGACTTCCTGACTGGCTGGTTGGAGTCCTCGTTACAGTAAACACCAATGAAGGCTGGAGACAATCGGTGATATTGCTTAAACTCATCGTTCTCAGCGATAGCTCAAATGCATCCACTCCTTGTAACTTATGATTTCCAATGAAACTGTTTTGATCTTCGTTATTACTATTCCTTTGTCTCACACCTCTGTTTACTGTCTCTATTTTGCTATTCTTTTTACTTTCTTCTCTTGCTTTGTGTGCTACATGAAGGGAGTGTGGCGAGTTGAACTGCCGCACATATGTGCAAAGTTCTATGTCGGAAACAGACAGACAGACAGATGGAGCCAGCTCAGGTGGCAGCTGTTGATAAAAGCCTGCAGTAAAATGTTGGAAATGCACTTCGTGACGCGTTCGCCAAATTTCTCACAGACTTAGAACTCACTGACTAACTTAACATTTGTGTTGAATATCCGAATCTAGCCATTTATGCTGAGTGCAAAAGATTTCCACACTGACTTCAGAGTGGTGAAGATGCCTGCCTTGCCTTTTCAATCCTGACTAGTTTTGACATCCTTATCCGTTCCAACTGCCTGTAGTCAAAATGCTGCTGGCTGCCTAGATAGGTGAAGGAAGTGATCTCTTTAGAATGTCTGCCATTGATAGTGAATAGTGTTTGCTGAGACTCTTAATCTCAGGGTCATGGGTTCGGGCCCCACGTCGGGCGCCAGTGTGCGTCGGTGGTATAGCGGTTAGGACGCTCACCAACCATGCACATGGTCCGGGGTTCGATCCCCGACCGACACACTCCTTTACCTCGCTAAGCCAGAAATAATGGTGGTGAAGAGGAAAGGTTGGGTATGAGGCTAGCAACCCCATCCTGTAAAATAAACACTGCTGCAGAAACTTCAAGCCACTGGCTTGAAGCCCTATGTTCCACTGGGGAACGTGAAGGAAAAAAGTGTTTGCTGTTCTGGCAGTGATTGGTTGGTTATCTTTATCACCTCCGTCTTCTCTATGTTCACCACTTCTGCAAGTTTATTGGTTGCCTGCTGTAATTCTTCGAGTTTGTGTGATGTTAGGCACACATCATCCGCGAAATCCAGATCTTCTAGAGTCTTCTCCTCGGTCCAACGCATTCATGTTTTTCACTCCCCACTTGCGGTCTTCAGGATAATCCAGTCCATAACAGTTGGAAATATTATCGGTGATAATCGTCAGTTTTGTCTAACCCTTCACTTTGCTTCAAAGGCTTCACTGAATTCCCCATTGTGGATCACCTGACACGTTGAATAAGGTTGTTATAGATTCTGGGCACGCCAAGTAACTTTGCCATCAACCCGGTCGAAGGGCTTTTCAAATTAGTCGATAAAATTAAGGTAGAGAGAGATTTGACTTCATTCTGTTCTCAGCTCGACGATGATGGTGATGGTGATGATACGCCGAGTTGCAATTCGATCAGCGCATGGTTTGCTTTTTCCTCATTCCAGCTTGTTCTGATTTTCACATACGATAATAAAGCATGAAGGAGAAAGTAATAAGAATAATTTTTTATTATAGCTTGATTTCACAACCTATTTTTGGTACAAGTAGGAAATTTTCAGCATGTGATATCGCTGGCCCAAATTTTGCAGGCCGATCATTGATATCAGGTGTGCGTGCGCAGACGATCGAGCCCCGGACCATGTGCATGGTTAGCGAGAGTTCTAACCGCTGTGCCACCGACGCAGCACTTCAGATGTTTTGCTGAGGCCTGATTGATTTCAAGGCTGATTTCCTCATAAACAAACGACAGTTAAAGAAATAACCGTTGAAATACAAGGAGTACTGAAGGTCTGCTTGACTCTAGATTGTGACATTTTCGTAGTATGCCACCATATATCTCCGCCACCAAAACCACACAAAAAACCTGAAGAGTTAGAGGATGAAATCTCATTTTCAGGTATCTCAATCAAATGAACAAGTATTTATTTATTTTTATTTTTTTATTTTTGTTTACAGCTTGATTCCACACAGTACTTTTGGTAGAAGTATGGAATTTTCAGCATGGATATCGGTAGCCCAA